CCATTAATTCTAACCTAACCTTACTATTTATTTGGGGTTATCCGTTTTTTAAAGGACTATGGACTCCGTTATTTAAGGAAAATGGATAACAAATTGTTTCTCACAAACGGAACGACGAAAGCTTGAAGACTACTGCATCTCAGCTAAAAACTAGGAAAGGAGTAGATATTTCAACAGCAAACCAGTTTTTGCCATAAGAAGCCATTCAGACAGTCAAAAAGAAAGCATCTAGGAAGCCAAATATAACAGAAAACAATCTAACACACATGAGAAAAGTAATAGGACAAGGACAATGAAGAGTTTTTATAGTACCAAAAAAAGTAGTTGGGTTTTGGAGATGGAGGTTTTAATCTGTTCTGATAGCCAAGAAAAACCCGTATCAACCAAGATGGCTGAACTCAGTAAAAATAAATTGAAGGTCTTTGGATATGTGAGAGCAAATACGTCACTCAACTGAAATAATAATTATGATGACTCCAGCCCGGCAGTGTTATATTAAGTGGAACTAATGACTATCTGAGAAATAATTTTAGGGATATTTATCTGAACTTGGAGGGAAAAATTGCTGTACTCAGTAAAAAATGCCTGTTTTTCTTTGCACCATACCACAATTAAGACACGATGAATTATTGTACAAGATTGTCAAAGGAGAGCTGCAAGTGGTTAATAATTACATAACTGTATTAACTCGCAGGATAAGCAATGTAGGCCTACATCTGATTAATTTAAACAGTCATCACAAGAAGAAGAAGAAGTCATCACACACACAACATAACATGCTCTCCATTTAAACGACCTGGGTGAAAGCAAACTAGCTAGTATCATCTTTAATGCTTTGTCTCGATGGTCAAGACATAAGAATTCGACCCGTGACTTTTGTTATAAGGATACAACTGAAATGGAAGTGTCGAGTGTCGGATTGTTTGTGTGGAAGAAGAGACAATTAAGGTAGTGTACAATATGAAGGACGCATTTCAAAAGTATCAAGGCAGGGATGTTGCGTTCACACACTCATAATATCAGCGGATCTTGAAAGCCCACGAAACATGACAGCTTGGGGTGGCGGTGGTCTTTCGAGAACAGTTTGGGAGACCAAACCGCGAAACTGCATAAACAGCCATCTAGTCTACCAAAAGAGTACTAGGGGCGCAAGTAGTTATAGCCTCATAACAAAACCAGAATATACACAAAGCCTACAACACTGGAATATGACATAGCCTTTACTGAGTTATCCCAGGATTTTAAGCTGAAAGGTTTTAAAAGACTTTTGTGTTCTGCTTTGAGCTGTGTATGAGACTATATAACTCCCAGCCACTTTATAAATAAAGTCATCAAATTCCAGGAAAAAACAGGAGCAATAATTGAAATAATAAGCTACAAGCAGAAGGCGAAAAGATTACTTTGGAACGGTATACCACATCATCAGTTCAATAAATGTCTGCGCCATCTGATTGCCCACCAACACTTACATGCACTACATCACAGATCATGCCTGCCAGTCAAACAAGTTTTGTGAATGCAGTAACTCCTACGTCTCGGCCTCTGCTTCTGCCTGACAATACAGAGCTCCTCATCAGCATTGGTGTTCATGGAAGTGGAAAAGAAATCGGTGTGAGTGGGGGGGGGGGGGGTGAAAAGCAGAGTAGGCCTAACGGGGTTGTGAGTGAGGGGGGTGAAAAGCAGAGTAACGGGGTTTTGAGTGAGGGGGGGGGGGAAAGCAAAATAATCAGATTGTAAATTTTATAGAAAGCCAGTGTACAAGTACCGTAGTCTTAGGGAGCAGAGAAGAACACCTGCTTTGGCTTTAAACTTGGGTTTGGGGGGGGGGGGTTCTCAGGGAACTTAAGGCGTTCATTTAGGTGAAAACAATAAGCATAATTCGGTCATAGTAAAAAAAAAAAAATAACAATTTTTCACCTAAATATTCAGAATTTGGTATTACCTGACATTTTAGTCTTGTCAGAGGCTGAGCAGATTTAATTTAAACGGTTTTATTATAAATTCAGATTACTCTCGGGAAAAATTTAAGAATGGAGGTGTTTTGATACTATCTAAACTTGGTTTAAAATGGAAGCAGGTGAATTATGCTAATATTGAAATTTTAAGGGAAGAAAAAGTATTTTGTTCAAAATATTTTGTTGAAAGGGATGAAATTATTTTGGTTGGTATAAATAGATCACCTGCAAGTAGTGTTAATGAATTTTTAAGTCAATTAGGTATCCTATGTGACTATGTATTATCAAAAAACAAAAAGGTGGTAATAGTAGGAGATTTTAATATAAATGTTTTAGTAAACAGCAAATAAAGCAAAGATTTTGATAATTTGTTAAAATCTTTGGTTTGAAATTTGTAGTAAATTTTCCAAAAAGGGTCAAAGCTAACTCATAGTAACAGCTATTGATAATATTCTAACAAACATTCCAACACATGACTTAAAGACCACAGGAGGATAACTGAGCTTTCAGATCTCAATGGACAAATATTAGAAATAAATATTTGAAATAAATTTATAAAAAGCAATTATATTTTTAAAAAATCCCGAATTCTCAGAAGAAAATAAGCTCCAATTTTATAAAATGCTGGAAAGGGAAAACTGGAATGATGTTTATTTGGCACCGGTAACAGAAAAGTAGGCCTACAATATTTTTCACAAAACGTTAATTTACTATTTCAATTTATGTTTTGAAAATAATCTTGTCAAAATTTACAACACAAAGAAATCGTGGATAAATCCAGAAATTAAACAAGAAAAAAGAGTAAATTATAAAAATGAGTAGAATAGCTAGAAAAGTACAAAATAAATGTATTTTTTCTGAACTGAATAAAAGGAAAAAATATTAAATAAAAAAATTACTGAGATTAAAAAGAAGTTTTTTGATTTCCAAATTCATAATTCAAGGAACATTTACAAAACCACATGGAGAATAATTAATAATAAAGTTTAAAATTAAATAAAACCATAGACTAACCAACACAAGTAGACTTCTCATCCCATTGTAAATTTGGAAGCACGTTTTTCGTGTCTAGTTCATGTACGTGGCACATGGGCGCTAGTGTCGACGAAACTTTGTTTCTATTATTTTAGGGTTAATTTATTGATTTGTGCTTTACTGTTTGGTTATATAACTAGGGGACAAGTTATTGTTTATGATTAGATCGTATTATTTGGCTAAACGAGGTTTTAAATGGCTGTAATAACGGGAAACAAATTGTAAACAAAACACGACCTCTACATAAACCGTACAGAACTAACAATAAAATTGTCTTCAGCTGTACCATAAGGATGAGAAATCTACTGGGAGTATGTTTTATCCATGATAAAACGCTTACTCATAGAATATTAGTCTTCGACTAAATGAGGAACTAATTGAAAATCCGACTTATGTTGCAAACATGTTTAATAATTACTTTATAGATGTTGTAGATAGCTTAAGTGCTACACAACCTTTAGATAAAAATGGAGGAACAACTAAATCAAGTTAACGATGTAAATAAAACAAAAGGGCTTTTTGAAAGTAGGATATTTAAGTGCACTCCTTTAGATGATAAGGAAATGGAGAGAATTATTGGTTCACTTAAGAATAAAATGTCTAGTGGTTATGATGATTTACCAACTAAATTATTAAAATATGTAGGGAACCTTTTAGTAAAGCCACTTGTACATTTGGTGAATTCCTCTTTTGTGTTTGGCTTATTTCCACATAAACTAAAAATTGCAAAGGTAACTCCTTTACATAAAAAAGACGAGGTTACTGAAATATCTAACTATAGACCTGTTTTATTGCTCCCTGCTGTATCAAAAGTATATGAGAAAGCAATGTACATTAGATTGGTAGATTAAGATTATCTTGAAGCAAATAAGATTTGATAATGCTCATGGTTTCAGAAATGGAAGATCAGTAATAACAGCAGCTACTGACTTCATTGAGTCCATTGTAGAATCAATTGAAAACGGTGAAAATGTTCTAGGGATATACTTATGGATCTCTCTAAAGCATTTGATAGTGTGAGTCATTCAATTTTGCTAGAAAAACTGGAAAGTCTTGGAATAATGGGGTACCCTTAGAATGGCGTGAATCTTATTTGGATGGTCGGATGCAATTTGTTGAAATAAAATCAAACAAAAACAATTATTTAACTACATTTAATTCTCATAAATGTAGAATTAAGTGGGGGTGCCACAGGGTTCAATTTTCGGAACAATTATGTTTTTATGTTATATAAAAGAATTGCCTAAAAGTATTGTTAATCCTCAAAAGAGTAGACTAAGATTTGTTTATATGCCGATGATTCAAATTTAACAGTGGCGGGGAAAGGTAAAGATGAGTTGGAAAATTCAGCCTTTGTAGAATTGCATAATATACAGCAATTTCTAAAAAATAATAATCTAAATCTTAATACAACAACAAAATTTTGTATATCAAAGAGATTTTGTGAAGAAAAAAAATGTAAATTAAAATTCCCATGTCATTCTTATAGAGAATATTGTAAAATGTTGTAATTTGCTTGTTTATGGATATATTTTGATTAAACTTTGGCAAATTTATTTATTTTACACTAAGCTATTTATTTTACAAAAAATACACTTTATTAGTTTCCTTGTAGCAGCAAACCTAGGTACTCATTAAACCTAATGTTATTTAAATAGATTTAATTGAAATCAATTCAGACAAATGGAAATTCGCTTAGTCAGCAGGTTTGCTGCGGCAAGGGTATTTTAAACACAGAGTGGTTACTCCAGTTATAGGAAAGAACTTTTATATCGTTGGTTAACTCGTTCCCACTCACTGCACTGTTCAGTTCAATTGGTATTCGAAAAAATGTTCAGTTCAGTTCTGGCAGGGTCGTTCAGTCGTTCAGTCACACTATTGTAGCACTAGACTAGACTTACAAGACTGGGACTAGACTGACTAGAGTCTAGTCTAGTCCTAGTTTGAGTGAAGTGAAGTGTGGTGAGTGAGAGTAAGAGTGACAGTGAGAGTGGAGTTGTGTTTGTTTAATGTTTTTTTGTCTAACAAAATAATGGTAGAGTTTTGAGTTTATCGTCGCATTATCTTATCTTGGGAATTGAAGTTGTTCTGAAATAATGATTTTGTGATTTTCTCACTAACGACACACAAAACCGTTTCTGTAAGCATCGAACACATTACTCTTGTCTAAGAAAAAAATTTTAGACACATTTTAAATTTAAACGCCCGTCCCAGGCCACTGGAGACCGTGATTCCGATTGAGACATCCGAAGCTATGAAGAATGGAGAGAGAGAGACTCTACAACCTGATAAAAACTTAAAAGTTACCTCATTCATTAGGTTCAAATAAGTTAACTTATTTCAATCATGATGGATACCCAGCAATTTTATAGTAAGTTAATCATAAAATTGTCAATAGCTTAACAAATTTGCCAAGACACAGTAACTTAGGCCTATCTCTCCAGTTCAGTTCACCAACCAATTTTTGAAGCCTATGAGAGGCCAGGCCTACTAAACAAAAACATCGCATACAAGCAGCAAAGGAATTTGATGTAAAACAATATCTTAAATACTGTGAGATTAGAATTTGTATTTTGATTTTTTTTTTTCAATGGAAAGGGAGTCCAATGAATCCGACGCCGACGGCCATCTTGGATTTGCCCGCCATAAGAGCATTGTTAATTTCGTTCAAACAGCCGCTGAAGGGTATTTTTTTTACCATCTCAAATGATGCCAAAGTGATTGTACTATCTAGTAGCCTACCGGTATAAGAAAATAGGCCTAAGTTACCGTGAGATAGACATTTTCATTGTAGTATTAATTGTTTTAAGAGTTATGTTTACTTAGCTTAGGCCTAAGTATGAGTTAAAATATCTAAGCTCCAAGGACTCTTAACTTAAGCTAACCAATAGGACTGTAGGGCAATAAGTTAGGGCTCTTAAGCCTATTATTGTAAGATCTTCGAAGAAGAATCCCAAATTTGCATCAAATCTTACTTAAGACAGCCAAGTTAGTAAACCTCTAGCAAATATAAGTTAATTGAGGAATGTTTAGCTCACAATGATGCTTAGGCCTATAGGCCTAGGCTACCTAAAAGCCATTAAAATAACCCTTATATTAATTCAATTGTAAGTTAATAGGCCTAGGCTATAATTGGTGCAAATATAATATAAGTTACTAACGACACACAAATTAACCCAACCATAACTAAGTTAAATAGCCTAAGGCCTAACTTCCTTTGGTCTAGCCTATTTTTTCATTTGGATTTAAAGTTAGGCTTATCATTACGGCCTAGGCCTACAAGAATGAATGGGGAGGGAGGATTTTAGGCAAGTTAGCCTCAAAACATAAATTACGTTAAGTTAACATTTCCCAATCTTTCTCTACTTAACCCTAGCAGTGGCTGATCGTCGTCTGGTGATGATCCGACGTTGATGCTTAGAATGGCCAAAGTCGTCTGGTGACGATGTGGGCCGAAATTTTTTTAGCGGTAAAAAAAACATGTAGGGCCTATAATCAACTCAGATGAGACCATTTGAAAGATCACATTCTGAACTTTCATTTTATTACATAAACAAACCCTGTAGCAGGTATATAACAATGTCACGACGATTAGAAATCAAATGAATTTTTGGCGCGGCACAACTTTTGCAGCTGACACTTGGGAACTGGCAAAATACGTCTTGTTTGGCATTACCCTGCTCGGGTAATTTTCGTCGTGGGATGTTGCGGGTGGTACCACTGAATAAGTTAGCCATTGATTTTATCTTCATTGTGGTACTTAGTAATATTTAGAACGAAATATTGATTGCACAACCGGTACGATTTTATGAAAACAGCTGTTTTTCGAAATTTTTAACAAATGGCCAATGGTCGTCAGGTGACGATGTGGAAAATACGAATTACATACAGTGTAATTTATTATTACTAGTCATATAGTATGTCATTTTGAAGAAGAAGAAATATAGATTCAGAGAGTGGCAGCCCTGCACTCAGGGTTATTTCTGTATGCTCGCATGTAGACGACGGAAGTGAGTCATTACTGCTACAGTCTGTCAGCTGTCTTGTATTCGCCATTGTTTGTTTGTGTTGTTGCCGGTAATAGTGTTCGTTCTCGTGTTATCCGCGATTTATTACTAAATACGTTATTAGTTCGTAGTGTTAGTAAAGTTTGTGTGTGCGTATTTAACAGTAATCTTCATGCATAAATATTACTGAATTTTATGAAATAGTGTTCATAAAAGGTTGTATTTTGTTAGCATCATGTCCAAAAATGACGATTCTGACATTCAGAGGTGCTATATGCTATAATGATTTACTGTACCCAAGGTGTTATACATTTTTTATAAAGGTAAATGAATACACTACAACATGTTTATATTGGTTTGGGTTTAAAATATTTGGTAAAAAAATTATATAGGCTACTAAATACTGTACACTCTATTTTCTCGAAATGCGCAACAAATTCAAAACGTTCTCAAATTGATACATAATTATAGGTGAAAATAACTTTTTACCACCATACTTATGACTTTTTTGGATTCCTTACTTCATTAGCTTTACAAATATGTAGGCTACATATCATCAGCCTTCATAATGTTTCACAACACAAACAAACACTGTAGGCTATAGTTTACACTTAGGCTATTTGCGGTTTTGCGGTTATTGTATTATTATGTCCCTATTACGCACCTACAAAAAAAATATTTATAACATGTTATACATTTTTATGTAGGTAATTGAATACACTACAAGATTATTATGTTGGTTTGAAGTAAAAAAATTTGGTACAAAAGTTGTATACTAAATACTGTGAATTTTTTTTCTTGAGAAGTCGCTAAAATATAAAAAAAATTATTTTATATACATATGTTTATAGGTAAAAAATTATTTTTACCATAAACTTTATGACTTTTTTTGATTCCTTACTTCATTAGCTTTACAAACATGTATATATCATTAAGTATACACATATATTATAGAACTTTTTACAACATAAACTAACACTGTACGGTTTTCAATTTTTTCGATTCTCCGTTTGTGTTAAGACTGTAAAAACAGTCTCCCACATAACCGTATATATTTGCATTGGAGTTTTCCTGGTGGTTTATATTTCGCCCCAAAAACTTATAAAAAAAATTATTTTCTTAACATGTTATATATATCTATGTAGGGAATTAGATTGTCTACAAAATGTATATAATGAATTTCCCATAAAAAATCCGTAGACAAAAAAATACTGAGGCCGCTTTTGAAATTTCAAAAAAAAAAAATTCAAATTTTTTTTTTATTTTTTTCACTTGACCGATAAAATACACTGTCTAAATCATTATGATATTACTATTTCTAGATTCTCCTGTTCTTTCCGAACAAAATGAATATGATGTTGGCTAGGTTTACTTGTACGGTTGAATTTTTACGAATTTTCAAAAAAAGGTCTGCAAAATCGCCAAAATGGGTTGGCCATTCCCCACTTCTAACATTGGCCACTGCTAGGGTTAAACCAAATCAAATCAAATCAAAATATCTTTATTCGTCATCTGTACATGCTTGGTACATTGAATAGTGTCAATGAGTAGCCTATATTACATTTAAAATATTTGTAACATGGGCCCTAAAATTAAATATGTAATAAAATAAAATTAATAGTATAAATTCTTAAAATATAGAAAAGAACTTAAGTTTCAGAATGGTTTTAAACATCAGCACTAAATGGACTAAATTAAATTAACCAGTTTGAAGATCTTTAAAAAAAACAAATAACATAACTTAAGTTATGTTATGGCCTGGCCTAAATTTGGTAAACTTAGCTTACATATTAACCCTCCGAGTGTTATGTGTCGTAAAAGCGACTCATAACACATCCGCTGTAGTGTTATGTGTCGCTTTTGCGACTCACAAACACTGTTTACGGCAACGGCTCTGGGACTGACTGAATCGGATTGAACTGGATCGAGTGAGGTATCGTTTATTTCAACAGATTCAGAGCTTTCTCCTGATGTCTGTTTCTATATGCTTTTCATTTTAGTTCCGAAAATATTGTAGCAGACAGCTGACGTGCGTATTTGTAAACAGGTTGGTTAACCTCCCACCGATGACTGATGTGTTTTATTACGTTTATCATTGTTTTAGTGTTAAAAATCAAAAGTAGTGATATACGTGGTGCATTATAAGAAGATTAAGTGATTTTGAAGGGCTGGTTGATGATCCTGAAGAAGTAGGTAGTGATATTGATGTAAATTATCAGCCAGATTCCTAGCTATGGTTATAGGCTATGCATTCTCAGCTAAACGCTATGTACCGAAATCTGTTTTTTGCCCATAACTTATTTATTTGCAAACCTACTTCCTTATATTACTGTATTTTTGGAATCCTCATAAAATTCTGAACAAAGTGGCTATTTTAAAATATTTGTAGACCTATAAATTATAACAATTTATTGAGCGCAAACATAATTTTTTTTTCATTTATTTTATAATTTTTGAGAAATGTTAACCCCACAAAAATTGTTGAAAATTTTTTTTGTAATGTTTTAAGTTATATGTTACATTGAAGCCCATAATTTTACAAACAAAATGATATATAAAACAGTATTCTTTACATTGTTTTTAAGTTTCTAAGGTACATTTTAATAAAACCCTGCGATTGCGCAATAAATGGGCGAACATTAAGACCAAAACTAGAGACACTTGAAGGGTTAAAGAAAGTATATCTACCTCGCCTGAAATTAAAATATTTTTTCCCAAAATGTCACGCTGATTCCAAAAAACATTGTCGTTTTTTTTGGAAACACCCGTTTACCCGGAAAATTTGAAAAACCTTAAACAATTTTTATACGGAGAATGACATTGTGGGTTAAGTTAACTTGAATAGGCTTCCTAAGTTTATGTAATTTTTATTACGATTGAACCGCTAGGCCTAACTCAAGTAGGCTACTAAGTTGAATTTCACTGAAAAAGTGGGCTGTTGGCTACTAAACTTTAACTTAGTTTGCTAGCCCCAGCGTGCAGGTGACTCCTAAGTTAAAACGCCATTGTGGAAAGTAGGCATTTTTTGTAAGGTCAGGCTAGGTAAGGTTAGTTTTAGGTAGGTACCCATTTCATTGAACTTTAACCAAACCTAGGGTAACCTAACAATGGCCTACATTCCTACATGGCGTAGGAGTCACCCGCACGCTGGAGTGCTAACGGCCCGCTTTTTCGGCGATATTTAACTTAGTTAATTAGCAGTCCGATCATACTTACAAATTCCTGTTCAGAATGAAATCCCAAACACTTTGAGTAAGTTACCTAGCCTACCGGTAGGCCTAACCACAATGACATTTTCTGTAAAGAATTCTTTTACCAGGTTTTTCCGATTTTCCGGGTAAGATAAGTTAGGCCCAAACAGGTGGTTTCCATGAACAATGACAATCATTTTGGAATCAGCATAAATTTTGATCATTTTGGGGAAAAAATTGAGTTAAGTTACCGTACCTAATTTTGGATGAGGTCCGGAGATTGATTTCCAATAATTTAGTAGCCTACATTGAAGTGTTTCTTGGCAATTATTAAGTTAAAAACTTATTGGTTTTTCGGAAACTGTTGTAGTTTTCTTGCCTATCTGATAAATTTTTATCGAACGTGGCAAATTTATTATGTACTAAGCTATTAAATTAAGCGGTTTTACTAAAAAAAAAAATAGGTAGGGGTCTACTTTATTAGAGGCCTATCCTCCCGTAGCAGCAAATCTACGTACTTATTAAACCCTACCGTATAAGTTATTAGGTAGAGAAATAGATTTAATTGAAATTCAAGCAAATGGAAATATCCCTTGTCTACAGGTTTGCCACAGCAGGAGTATTTTACCACTTAAATTTGTTTTACAGGGTGTTTCATAAAGAATCAGTCGGATTTATAGGTTTACATAACTGTTCATATGGTCATGGGCTAAATTTTATATTAGGCTAACCCTTTCCACTCCAATTAAATGGGAGGCCCATTTTCTCACCAGCTCCATTTAATTTGAGCCAAATTTGCATAGCCTATTTAATTTATTTACTAAAAAATAAATAACTTATCGTCTTGACTTATAGAAGGCTGTTTAAATCTTTTTCAAAGTACGCAAGCCCCCCCCCCCCCAATTGAATTTAAATTCCCATGTTATTCTTACGGAGAATAAGTAAAATGTTGTAGTTTTCTTGTTTATGTACATATAAATATTTTGATCAAATTTGGAAAATGCATTTATTTCTTAAGTACTAAGCTATTAACCCTCCAAAGGTCCATAGTTTAGGCCTTAATGTCCACCTATTTTTGGCCCCTTTGCAAGGTTTTATTAAAACGGATCTGAGAAGCTTAAAACAATGTTAATTCTAATGTTCTATATACCATTTTGTTTGGAAAATCATGGGCTTCAATATTATATATACAACATAAGGAACATTTTTTCAAAAAAAAATTTTTAGGTAAAAAAAAATATAATTTCGAAAATTTTCAAAAAAAAAATAAGTTCGCGCTCAATGAAATTGTATAAATTATAGGCCTATAAATATTTGAAAATAGCCACTTTGTTCTAAATTTAATGAGGATTACAAATATATAATCATATAGCGAGGTAAGTTATCAAATAAATAAGTTATGAGCGAAAAACGGATTTCAGTACATAGCGTTTAGCTAAGAATGCATAGCCTAACCATAGCTAGGAATCTGGCTGATAATTTACATCAATATCACTACCTACTTCTTCAGGATCATCAACCAGCACTTCAAAACCACTTAAATCTTCTTATAATGCACCACGTATATCACTACTTTTGATTTTTAACACGAAAACAATGATAAACATAATACAACACATCAGTCATCGGTCCGAGGTTAAGTAACCTGTTTACTAATATGCACGTCAGCTGTCTGCTAACAATTACGATCGGCTCAGAGAACAAACAGCGCTTAGAGACAGACCTTTAGAAAGCTTAGAATCTAATGAAAAGAACGATACCTAACTCGATCCAGTTCAATCCGATTCAGTCAGTCATAGAGCCTTCGCCGTAAACGATGTTTGTGCGTCTTAAACTAGACGCGTGACCCTACACAAAGTGTGTTGTGCGTCTATTTTTTGACGCGTGACCCTCGGAGGGTTAACATTTTACAAAAAACTAATTATATTTAACTAGGGAATAAATGTGATATTTTTAAGGAAACAGTTTAGTGTAAATCCAATCAGGCAAATGGAAATTCGCTTAGTCTGCAGGTTTGCTGTGGCGGGGGTATTTTTACATACCAACAGGAAGGTACTTACCTCCTACATGTTGGAATCTTCATGCGAGAGATTTTTTAAATAATAGGCTTCCTAAAAGATAAATCGGCAGTCCTGGACCAAACGATTCTACTGCCTATTCTGCCTTAGGTCACTGGCCTCCAGAGAGAGTGGTTGGTTAGAGTGGTTTGTAAAACAACATTGACATTGGTGTGAACTGAAGAACCGAACAAGAGCAGTGTGGAATTCATCACATGCTAGCTGAGGTGTGGGACAAATTTGAGGATCGCCTAGATGTATGATTAAAACTTATAAAGGGGGGTCATTTGAGCTTTTAAATGGTAAGAAAAAACTATTTATGAGTTACGGTATCATGTAATATATATAGGCTAATTATCCTCATGTCCGTATGATAATTAGTTTTGAAATTATAAACATAACTTTATCGGATGATTCTTTTTCAAACACCCTGTAATACATGCCTTTTTAGTAATATTGTTCTCATGCCTGTCCACGCATGATGGCCAAAGAATAGGCTATGTTCCTGGCAATAAAACAGTAGGCTATAATTACTAAAATAAAATACAATACACTTTCCAAACATGCTTTTGCTGGTGCTTCTTATTGAACTGGTCAGTAATTCAGGGCCTACTAGGCCTCGTAAAACGGGGTGACTTGAGCCCAGTGGGGTGACTTGAGCCCAAAACGCAAGAAAAAGTTTTGAATTTTCGTTTCAGAAAACCTAAATGATTTATCAAAAGGTTTTATATATCAATTTGAAGGTTACCTAATTAGCTTTCACCACAAACGATTCCAATTATTTTAACTGTCCATGTTAATAACTATAAAAAATAATAATGTTAACACGTCCGAATCTGAATTTCATTACGTTGAAAAAAGGTTATCGGCACAATGGGTATTTGCACTTAAATGAAAATAAACTATTTTTCCCCATTTCATTATTTCCTTGACAACACAAACATGTTGAAGCATGTTTGATTATGTAATGGTTTAAGTCAGTATGACCTGGGTTTACCTTATCATGACCAAGTTCGGCAGATTTTGGGGTGACTTGAGCCCACCTGTGTTTAATAGGTACCGTAACGTTTGTTTAGTAATGAAATAAGACACTTTCATTATTTCATGTGGTCTAGTAATTGGAAATGGCCAGAAAAGGTAGATGAGTGCTGGTACAGCAAAGCAGAAGTTAAAGGAAAAATAGCAGCCCCCACACCCATTACCGCCAGAGGATCTTTTGCCGTTCCAGAAGTGGAAAAGTGGCGGTTAATGGACAAAGACATAAAGTAGAACAAGTGCTTTTACTAGTGTAAATAGTGTGTAGATAAAAAACAATTTGTTATTTTTACATTTAGCTAGTCTATTAATGACTGTCAAAATGTCTATTGTGAAGTTTTTTATATCGGAGTGACGAATCGGTTCGGATTAACTAGAACGAGATATTGGCAACATTTCATTTACAGAAAAAATTACTTTTTTATATTTTCAAAAATTGCTGGTGGACTTTTTCTGATTAATCATATTCAGATCTTCAATATTTGGTAAGTAAAATTTTTTTAAATGATTCTGTAAGTTTTTTATAAATTTATTACAGTTTTGACGAAAACTTTGTGTTTTGTTTTACACTTACCGTCATTAAACCTAAAAAAACAGGAATTTTTAATCTAAAAAAATACCAAAATATTCAGCTATATATGTGGGTTCAAGTCACCTCATGGGTCAGTGCAGTGGGTCTAGTGCATTAGAATAGCATTGAAATATAATAGCTGGGTTCAAGTCACCCCGACCAACGAGGTGACTTGAGCCCACCCATATTTTATTTTTTTTTAAATAGTTACACTAACTTTAAAAAAATCTTATTCCACACATTTGTAGAATAGACCAAGACTAAGTTTACTGTAAAAGATTTATAAAAAAATACTTAATGGGTTTACTTTAATGAACAAGCAAAGTTCAAAAGTGGGCTCAAGTCACCCCGTTTTACGGTAGGCCTAACCTTAAAAAACTGCATAAGTTAAACTTAATAATAAACAGTATGGTTTTTGGTAGTACAATGTTTTATACAAATTGGCCCCAACAAATGCTAAATTCGGGATTTTCATACTGCCACAAACTTTTTACTTAATGGGGTTTATATAATCCAACCTACAGTGCGTTCAAACTGCTGTGGCACCTGAAGGATTAGGAGACCCTTGACTCTCGCACGCACACTTGCAAGCTTCTGGGTCTGACCTCCCCGACCAGGCAGATGACTCACCACTAGGACGTCCAGTAAGCATATGGTTATTCTTGCCAAATAGGCTAACAAATTTTAATAAATTAAGGGTTATTTTCAAAATGTTCATTAAATAAAAAAAAAATTGATCGGAACACGAGATGATTAAATGATAATTCATGCATACAAACCTAGAATCAATTTTCGTCGTAATTTTAAATAGGCCTATACATTTTAAAACTACTAAAATAAGGACTCCCAGGTTATACTATTTAAAATCAAGATAATTTTTATAATTAAAAATAATGTTAGGCTAATTCACCATTAATTAGACACTCCACAAATAGTTAACAAATTTAATACGGAACTTGTATTTTAATGCATTTTATTCTAATCAGTTAGGCCTACTAGTAGTCAAATGAATGCTTGGACTCTGGCATTGGCATGCGATGACTAAGGATTGTTCGGACGCTACTTTACTATGAGTCAAGGGTAGTTAGTTACGTCCACCATGAGGCATGTCCTGTTCTATGCCTTTTCAAGCACCTAAAATTGCAAATATTTAGCACGTTTCTCAATTTTCAAACACGATTTCAGGGTGAAATAGGTGTTTCCCCCAAAAAATCAAAGGGAAAAAAGTGCTTAAAATAAAATTTGGCAGATAAGGTAAAAAAAAAATAATTCAATATAACATAGGAAGTATAAGTTCAGTAGGTACCAAAAGTTGTACTTTGTGAATCTTGAAAAAAAAATTAACTTAGGTGATTAATATTGTTAATTAAATTTATAAGCTTATAGACTCTGTTACAGTTGCAGGTGTTCACTGATGGATTCTTTGGGCAGACTGAACCAAACATCTGTATAGCGAAACTGTGATCAACCTAAAGGAAAATATTGTACAATATGGAAACAAATTGATAAAAAGAAAGAGCACTCTAATTTCAGTTTGCTTAATTATTTTCACTGTTTTACGTTTAAAGAAAATCAATTGAACTTAGACTGTTTTGTTATTAGACCATGAAAATGGCTCTTATTGATGTAGCTAAGGCTTCTCTTGGAGAACTCAATTTATTTCACTGTTTGGTAATGACTATCATAGCTCTACCATTCCTCAACATCATATACACCAAAGGTCTGAAGGTAGGTGCATTAAATTTAACTGAGGTCTTTAATACTTTACTTCAATAATTTTCAATGAAATGGCGACCATAAATAATAGTTATTTTAAGCCAAGTATGAATGGAGATGAGTGTAGGATGATATCACCATAATTAACTTATCATAACACAGATTAGATCTAGCTTTTAAGTTGTACATAAAATGACGTTTAGGTTTTGTTTGCTTTGTTTAGGTTGTGTTATTTGCTTACGTTGGTGTTTTATAGAAATGGTGACAGGGAAATCAACATATGCCTATAAGAGCTATTTTGTGTAACTACAGATGTGGCAATGTGACCATTTCCATGGTCATCCATTTCCATGATCATTTCAATGGTAGGAAAAGATATTAGAAATGCCTGATAAGAAGTATGATTGCGATGAGTTCAATAGAACAGGGTGAGGCAGTGAAACGATTCCGACACCATTTAATAAGGAATCGGGGGGCTATTAGAGTGTGGGGGAAATGTCCTTAGGCTTCTAGACAAGTGGGAATTCCAGTAACCATGGAGCGTCGGACAAGTGCACAACGTGCGTTTGCTGTAAAGGCATATTACAAAAATGTGGATAGTGTGGTTTATGCTCAGCTCACTTTCCGTTGTGAGTTCAGTCTATCGCCACAGGCTCCCGTGCCATAAAGGAATGCTACGCTCCTTTGGGTGAATAACTTTGAAGCCACTGCTAGCACGACAAAGCGCTATAAACGATTGCAGCTGTTTTGCAAACGCTAAAAAACGTCATTTGGGGATTCCATCTCAGAATTCAACAATGTTTGCAGAACCAAATTTTACTGACACTGTATTGAAAAATAAAAATAATAATTCTTAAGTCTAAACATTGATTTCCACTCATTAACTTAAGATTTATGTTAAAACAACTATCATTTTTTTCTAAATGATTTTTTTGTGATTTTTCTGTAGAAATAAACTGGCAACTGGTAGAAATAAATCGCACAAAAAAATAACATAAACTACAAAATCCAATCTCCAACAACTGGTGTAAAAAGAGGGGTTCCACAAGGATCTGTACTGGTGCCAGTGCTCTTCCTCTCCTCACGAATGACATGCCAAACTGCATGGATGATGCCTGCTCCACTATAATGTACGCAGACGATACCGTGCTTACCATTTCTAATAAAGTTACTGAAACAAATATGATCGCATGCCTCAACCAAGCTAAACACTAACAAATTATTTTTAACACAAAAAATAAAACTACAAACTTAGCACCTCTCCCCGGCCTGTAAGCAAGCAACATAACCAAATCTAGGTATTACAATTGACTCAAAATTGTCATGGAAGCAACACTTCGACCAACTTGGCAAGAAACTCTCGTCAGGTACCCGTGTAATTCGAAGACTCAATCAAATATGTGGCCTGGAGATAGCTTAAGTTGCCTTCTTTGCTCTTTTTGAAACCCACTTAAGATATGGAATAGTGACATGAGGAAGAACATCAGCATCCAATATGGAAAAGATTCTTATCACCCTACAAAAAAGAGCAATCAGATGCCTAGCAGGACTACACTACCAAGAAAGCAGCCGGGAAACCATTCTGCATGCAGTCACCTCACAACAGTTAAGACATCATGAACTCCATACATACAACTAGGGATGGACGGGATTGAATTTTTAGTTCGGGACGGGACGGGACGGGATTTTTATTTCCTTCCCGATTTTCGGGACGGGACGGGACGGGATGGGATTTTTTTCTGTGCATAAAAAGAAAGTCTTGAGTATTGCAGTTACCAAAAAAGGCATACGAAATCAATCTTTACCGTTTGTGGCACTGATTTATAAAAACCAAAAAATGGGTAACAATTTTTCAGGTACCTATAGAAACTTGACACTCGCGGTCGAAAGGACTCGCGGTCACGGGGTGATCGTCGGTATGACTCGCGGTCACGGCATGATCGTCGGTATGACTCGCGGTCACGGGGTGATCGTCGGTATGACTCGCGGTCACAGCATGATCGTCGGTATGACTCCGCGGTCACGGGGTGATCGTCGGTATGACTCCGTGGTCACGACGTGATCGTCGGTATGACTCGCGGTCACGGCATGATCGTCGGTATGACTCGCGGTCACGGCATGATCGTCGGTATGACTCACGGTCACGGCGCGATCGTCGGTATGACTCCGCGGTCACGGGGTGATCGTCGGTATGACTCCGTGGTCACGGCGTGATCGTCGGTATGACTCCGTGGTCACGGCGTGATCGTCGGTATGACTCGCGGTCACGGCGTGATCGTCGGTATGACTCGCGGTCACGGCATGATCGTCGGTATGACTCACGGTCACGGCGCGATCGTCGGTATGACTCCGCGGTCACGGGGTGATCGTCGGTATGACTCCGTGGTCACGGCGTGATCGTCGGTATGACTCCGTGGTCACGGCGTGATCGTCGGTATGACTCCGCGGTCACGGCGTGATCGTCGGTATGACTCCGTGGTCACGGCGTGATCGTCGGTATAACTCCGCGGTCACGGCGTGATCGTCGGTATGGCTCCGCGGTCACGGCGCGATCGTCGGTATGACTCCGCGGTCACGGCGCGATCGTTGGTATGACTCCGCAGTCACGGCGTGATCGTCGGTATGACTCCGCAGTCACGGCGTGATCGTCGGTATGACTCCGTGGTCACGGCGTGATCGTCGGTATGACTCCGCGGTCACGGCGTGATTGTCGGAATGGCTCCGCGGTCACGGCGCGATCGTCGGTATGACTCCGCGGTCACGGCGCAATCGTCGAAACGACTTCGTCTCCTGCGTTCGCGGACCTATCGCTCGCAATAGCGGCGTCATCGGCACTCGCGAAGCGGCAAAATCGCCGGCGATCGGACCAAATCCCGTCCCGAAAAATTCCCGAATCAAATGTAATCCCGTCCCGATAATCGGGAATATTTTTTTCCCGAAAAATTCCCGAAATTTCGGGACCCGTCCATCCCTACGACAAGACATGCCACAAATTTTACCCTACCACTACACTGCCTAACGCTTTTCGAGAAGAAACCTTCATAAAAAGGAGCGCTCTTCTTCAACCACCTACCCGACCATCTAAGAAGCCAGCCACCCCAATGTTTCAAGAACCAGCTAACGGAATGGCTCCAAGAAAGACCCTACTACTCAGAATTCCTGAACACCTGACACAGCACCGCCGCCGACGAGAGCTCTCTCTGGACATCAAAATGTTAACTTTGTGTTATCACATTACATAACTATATAAAAAAACTCTTGAGCATTGTATAACTTTGACAATCTAAAATCTTTTGTATTGACGCATGTACTATTCTCCCACGAATATGTGAATAAAGAACATTGTCTATTGTCTATTTCTAAATTCTGCCGTTTTACTTCCTCACCCTATAGAAATAGATCACAGCCTATGGAAACAATTAGATAGGAATCGTATCGAACTAGCCTTTAGGACTAACAAGTAAAAAACAAAACAGCCAAGGTTTTAAGACTGATAAAACTGTTATGTGTTTATCAAATCGGCCAACTGCCTGAGCTATTACATTGGACAGACTGGCCAGGCCTTTAAAACTATACAAAGACCACTCCCCAAACCCGAGAACAGAAATTTTACATTACAAATAGGCTACCTACTGTCAAAACAGTAGGCATAGTTGAAATATTTGCTGGAAGAGGTTGAAATGTACAAAACCCAAGATCTTGTACTAAGGCTGTGGGCACACGGAAGTTTTTTTTTTTACGCACAAACCCAGCGTGAAAACACAAAAAATATGAGTAGCCTTAAATTTAATGGGGAATGCCACACGCAGTGGGTTTTCCCACGGTATCGGGCGCCTATTATATAGTTTTCAATGCTATTTTTTGTGCATTTTCACCCTGCTTTTGTGCGTGAAAAAAATGCCCGTTAGGCCGCAGCCTAAACAAAAAATTCCACTTCTACCGGTATATTAGTAACATTCTGTTCCACTGAAGAAACTCATTGGAAAGAGAATAGGACACTGCCATCCTTACTTAAACACCTAATCCTTGTAAGAATAAATTACTTTCGTCAAATAGCTCAATACCGGATGGTAAATTTTAGTCAGAACATGTTTCGATACATTGTGTCATCATCAGCTGAGTTCTTTTACTTGTGAAGTGTTGTATTCCACCAGATGGCTTTGTCATTGTTCAATAAACTAACATTAAACACGAAAACGACAACTTTTGAACATTTAAAACACGTAAAGAGACATTGCAGGCCTTGCTTGGACGAACATATGCTTTATTGAAATATGACGAAGCCATCTGGTGGCATACAACACTTCACATGTAAAAGTACTCAGCTGATGATGACACAATGTGTCGAAACATGTTTTGACTGAAATTTACCATCCAGTATTGAGCTATTTGACGTAAGTAATTTATTCTTACAATAATATCTACAGGTCAGGGGCTTAACAATAAATTTAAACAGTCTAACCCACCCATAATAACCACTATATTGGCTTCCACGATTGATCCAGGGTACGTTTTTTAAGACGTAGATAACTTAGGGATAAATATTAAATGGACTATAAAATAAAGCATACATGAGTGAAGATTTACCACCGTTACTTTAGGCCTACTCTTTAGTCTGAAATTTATTTGGACCGGTTTCACTTTAAACTTCAGGTTGGTCAAGGTTGAGCAGCCACTAATGTGACCTTTAATCCCCCGGGTACGATACGAGCGGCGGCGCCGCTCTGACATCGGGTCTCATTTAGTTGCATGTAAATTTGTTGAGGGTAGCCACAATGCGGCGAGCGGCGGTAAGCGGCCGCTCATGGTTCCAAGTCAAAACTGATTTTCCCTAAAACGCCGCTCGTTGTTCAGGTGAGTCATGCTTCAGTTCGGCCTAAAATGACAAGGAAATAGCAGCAAACATGCGATACGGGTCGATACGGAGTTGCAGTCCAGGGAATGTTTGTCGAATGACCAACACGGTCGTTTTAAAACAGTTCAGTCACCAGAAAGTATGGGACCAAGTTAGGGTTAAGGCTTTTCTAAAAACTAAGTTTTTCTTTAAAAACATACAATTGTCAGATAGCAACAGTAGTTGCAATACGTCTTGCAGGTAAGCATAGTTAACCATTTTCGACTATACTGACTCATAAAACTGGGGAAATTTGATGAGCGTTATAAATGTGTCGCTTGTATCGTAGCCACCACTGTCGCTTACTTGCTGCTCGTATCGTACCCGAGGCCTAAGTATCACAGTGTTTGAATATTGAACAAATTCCAAATTATGGATTGACCTAATTTTATTAATCAGTTCTCTGTGATTTTTCAGATGCTGCTGACTAAAGTAGGTTTCCAAATCACCTACATCCACACACTAATTGCAACATTCTGGGGTATTAGTTTCAAGTTAATAAGCTTGATAACTATTTATGGACATCTTGAAGGAAACTGGAACTTACTGGATTGGAGATCAAGACTGGATGATGAGTTGACTAAATGTAAAGTTCATGAAAAAACCATAGTTCACGGATTCAATACAGTTTTTGTCCTGCATACTGCTTTTTTGATCCAAGACTTTCTAGACACGTTGGTTACTAAAGGCTATAAAAATGTTGAGTTTCTACGGAAACAGTTGTTTTTGGCCATATATATTTTGGCAAGTTACCAAGGGTGAGTAAATATGTCTTAACTAGGCTATAGAACAAATATTTAAGTTGATTATTAACACTAATCTACCGTTTGGTATTCAATTTTCACTGTTAGTCCACAAGATTTCTGATGGTCAATTTATGAACAGTTTCAAAATATTGACTATTACTCGTCGTAAACAATTCCAAGAGTTAAAAATTTAGAATTTGATTCCAAAAGTCACAACTAATCCTTTAACCTCATATCCAAAAGAGTTTTCCATATAAGACTCAAGACTTAGAAAATCTAGTTCAGCTACAAACTTACCATATAGAATCAAACCCTTGATTAATTGTTATAACAGTTCTCATCAGAATCTATTGTGACCAAGTAAAGTAATTATTTTGCAATTACTCAACATTATTCATTCCAATGCTTCTCTCGGTAAATTGTAGTTCTGGCCCTCTTGTTATGTAATCATTCTAAAAATTAATTTCAATTATAACTCAAAAGTTATCCAATATATTACCATCACAGGTAGGGATGGGTCGATTCCTCTTTTTTGATTCCGATACGAATTCTTGCAAATCGATTCCCGATTCTCGATTCCTAATAAGTAAAAAAAGTCCTAATGAATAAAATACCGGTACCATAGAAGTAGCGGTAGCCTAATTGAATGGCAAAAACATTTTTCAGATTTTCCCGACTCACCATTTAAAAAGTATATTATTCATTTATGACTTTTTTAAACAACTTTATAATTTAATTCTGATAACTGAGATTTTGCTTTTTGTTATTAATAAAGTATACAGGCTACAATTCAACAGTCCAATCAAGCCTACAAGAACTATAATTTAGCCTATGTAATAAAAATAAAAAGTTATATGATTGTGTTTACTTATTTATATCACTGTTGCCTTTACCCACTACCATTAATAATGTATCATTCATGACCCAGGCCTTGATATAGCAAGATTTTTAGTTGGTGGTTTTTAAATTTTCTGTTAAAATTCTGTAATCTGAAATCAAATACCTGTAATTAAATTAAATAAAGATGCAATTCTAATATCCTTAAATTTGTACAGCTTATTTAGTAAAATTTATTTTGCCTTTTGTTTTAGTTGCTCCATGTTTGGGCTGTCTCTCTTGTTTGTATCTGATTGTTCTGAAGTTGTTGAATTGGGAAGCCGACTGATTTTCCTGATATCTACACATACTACATCCCGAGTATTACGGAGTGTGTCCAAAATTATACTGGCTTTCGCGCTGTACTGGTGGTAAGTTTTTATCGTACTTGTTTATTCTATTCAATTTAACACTTGCCATTAACACGTTCAATGCGGCTGCGCGATGGCCGGCCACTGCTGGTGGCGCGAACAGCTAATGCGCTGCGTAGATGAGTGCGCGAAAACTTTTAAATTTGGTTTCATCTAAATGAGAGGCATATATTGTGTCCTAGTCGTTATGGACGTAGTTTTACAAGAACCCAACAGATAGCAGCCCTTAACAATACTGCTAGGGGGTCCTCAGTATTGCCAAATGGAGGGAAAAAGCAGGGGTGAATTACCTGGATACACCATCAAAAAGTACCGCAAAAAACGGTCAAGCACAAAATTTTGAGGTTAGGTTCCTTCCACGATGCTACAGTACATTCCTTATTGTTATTCAATTGCATGTCATTAGATCCAAGCCTAAACCCCATACTACAATAGTTTTTTAACAATCCATATCACAGATGATAAAATAGTTGGGTCTGAAAACGAACTATACCTGATTGAATTCTAAAACTGGTACAACAAGCGGCAAGAAACAATGTCTCACGGCAGTGGCTAACCTCACGCTAGAAAAATAGTTTGTAAATGGCACTTTGACGAGTATACTCGGTGCGCGCCTCTGGAAATGGCTAGAGGTGACGAGATTACTTGTCATCCGCAGTGAACATGTTAAACTTGACAAACAAAAATTAAAATAATATTATGATTTATGACAAAATAATTTAATGCATTATCGTGTGTTAAGTGTTAGCTACCACAAAATTGGTCGTATTAGCCGAGAAAAGTGACTTGTGATAATTTTGTGTATTCTTCATCTACATACAGCTATTTGGTTCAGCTCTAAGTCTGTGTAGGATCCAAGTTACTTGACCACTAATAACATTTCTTCACTTAATCCTAGATTAAAACCCATTAACTCCTAAGCCTGAGAATAGCTTAAGGGATTAGGTAAGTCGCCTTGAACGAATCCCCAGGACAACCCTCAATTTTAAATATCATAAGAACACGAAACCTCATATTAGCGCTGTTTGATGCTACTGAACTCTTCCTTGGTCTTTTGGCATTGATTGATCTACCCTAAAGTCTCAAATAACCCTGGCTGCAGAAAAATAATTTCCAGCTATCTGTAGTCGCTGCTGGGTTTTGGTATGTGATGACGACATTGTTTTGCTGTTTGTGGTAATGGCTCACTTGGTTTACATTTGTGTTTAATAATGGGTTACTTTTCTGTTTTTCACAAGTATTTAGAAATAAATTCCATAGTTAAACGTAAATATTAAATGATTTTTGATTATGTTTGTACCTATGGTCAACATTTTTTTTTTAAGAGGTGGGCGGCCTCTTTTAACCTTGCATTTGCCCGTCCACATAGACTACAGATCTGTGCGTGGAACGTATCCAGCAAAGCAAGGGGTGAGCCGGTACAGTACAAAGGTATCTGTACTGATAAATTTTAGTGGCAGTGTCCAGGATCCGAACCCACGACATCGCTGCCTTGGGCCCGAAGTCCGTGACGCTACCAACTGAGCCACCGACTCACCACTAATTTGTTTGGACTTTTCTGTCACTTCAATGTAACATCCTGTAATCTCTGCCCATTGTTAATTTAATATAATGTATGGTTTGACAGATCATAAAATTTCAACAGTGCTATGCATAGTTGCAGGATTCAACAAAGACCAATGTAGTGTGAAGACCAAACAACACTAATTATGAGGTTAGGATTGAAGTAGGGATGGACGAGATTGGATTTCTAGTTTGAGACGAGACTTGATTTTTTATTTCTCATAAACTTTCGAGACAGGATTTCACTTCTTCTACTTATACATAACGGGAAATGAATGTTCGACATTTTAACCTGATTTTGTAAAATTGTTAAATACCTGTATTGCGGGTGTTGCATTGACTTTCTGCAGGCGTTTTAACTCATTTTTTAAAAATCTCGTCTCGAAAAAATCTCGATCAAAATAAAATATTGTCTCGTAGAACAAGATTTTTAAATTCCCAAAAATTTCAAGACCCGTCCATCCCTAGATTAAAGAGTGAGTGAGAGTGCGGATCCATTACCGCAAATGTTGAAGCTGGTACTATTTTCTATCTGTTGGCCACCACTGTCAGTCTATTTCAGATTGAAACGCAAAGGGGTGTGAAGACCTCTTAAATACTTATTTGTGGTTGTCTAAAAAATGGATCACTTGACAGTACCACTTCAGGTTGTTTATCATTTTGTTTACTTGTATTCTAACAGTTATTGTTTTCAGGGTCCTTACTTATCTGTACACCTACCCAGTATTTTTAACCCATAACAAAACGATGGCATCCTCAATGATGAAGGCAGACTTAATTATGTTGATCGTGATGGATACGTTGACATGGGTCTATCTTATTTTCACCATCATTGCTTCTGTAAGTATTACTTATCCAGCCAGTTGCGTTTGGAGGATTTAGGTTCCTTGGAGTCTGTATTTATGATATTGTTTCATGAATTTCAGTGAGATTAAGGTTAATAATTAATTTTACTAAGAACAGTTTTTGTGTTGTTTTTAATTAAATAATTTATTTTAATAAATGTTTTTACACATCATAAAGAAAATGCAGTGAAGTGGGTATGTTACTGTGTATTTTAGAAGCTTGCCGGTTCAATCCTGAGAAAAGGTGACAGTTTTTTTATGGTTTATTCGACTCAGCAATCTATCTCTCAATAATCAAATAGGGTGGATTCTTCTCATTCACCAACACACATCCTTTACTCATTATCACCTTAAAATACACACCCTTGTGTGTTAGCGCCACAAATAAATCCAGCCTAATCTAATCCGCATTACTTGTCAAAGCTATAAATCCAATCTAATCAAATCCACATTACTTGTAAAAGTTATAAATCCAACATAATCTAATCCTCATTAAACTTTTTAAAGCCATTTACAAAATACAATACCACAATCCAAAGAGAATGGTGATAAAATATTCATTTTGTTAACCTAAATTTCTTTATGCTTTTTATTAACGATCATAGGAACCTTTCTTTGGCATTTTTAATGGTATTAAAAATATTTGTGTATTAATTAATCCTTAAGGAATATAAATATTCCTATTGAAAAAGATGGTACTTGAGTATTAAACGGAGGCCACCATTACGAAACGCGCCGGGGCACTTATAGAGGGTTAAATTGTTATAGATGTTGTAGTAGAACTATTCTAGTATTGTTTTGAGTCGAGCGTTATCAGATGAGTCATGTGTCTACTCGCAGAATCCCCTCCAAGTAGGCCAAGGTCAGGGTCGTTGACCGGAGCGCGCGCCATTACCTGTCATCGCCTGTCACTGTGTCTGGTCAGCTATATCAGTTATAAAATTAAACTATCATAACCTAACCTAACCAACCAAACTTGCTGATAGTGAAAACATCGAATGAAGGTTTACTAATAATCAGTATTATCATAGCTAAGTTAAGAAACTGTAGGTTAGGTGGCCTCCGTTTAATACTCAAGTACCAAAAAGATAGCCATCTTTGATTGTTGGGGTCACCCAGACCAAAGTGGAAGTGACATCAAATATCATTGTCGCTTGCCCATGTAATTATGAAATGAAAATTAAATGTTTTCATCATCATATCCACTAATATGCCGAATATGTTTTGTTAACAGACATTTACAAGAATAATGGCAAGCTTGGCTTTCCAATCTATTGATAGACCACAAACTATGGAATTCTTCCTGCTCGGCTGTGATCCATGGATTGCAAAATGGACTAGGTAGCTAAGATATATGTCATTCTAAGTAGACCTATTCGGTTGGTTTCCTTCATAAGAATGGATTGAAACTGTCTAAATATTATGCATAAGACAGTACGGTACTAATGATTCTGCACATCTTGATTAAGGATGGACAAGTCTCAAATTTTCGGGAAATTTGCGAAATTAAAAAATCTTGTTTGTTCGAGGAATTAACTTTGCTCCAAGGCCTTCTTAAAAGACAATTAAGAAGGGCCCCCCAAGGTGTTAAAGGGTAAAAGAAAGTCACTGTATTCTGAAGACAAGATGAAAAAACAACTCCTTCAGAAAGTCTTTTTAATACCCGCAATACAAGAGCGTGTTATTTTTCTGTTTCCTTTGCAAAGGCCTTACCTATATAATTCATTCTCTGTGTACGTAAATCTTGGCTTTAAGTATAGTTTTTATTTGGGTTGAAGCAGAACCTTTGTGGATAAACCAGAATCGCGGATAAATGAATACCGGATAAACGAGGTTTTAGTGCTGTACTACAATTCTTTTGTCTCTTATAGACTCTTATAGTTTTTGTTTTGAGACAGTTAGTTGTGGTATGCATGTTGCAGTTTTACATTAAAGATGTCTTATTATCATTTTATTTTTGTCTTATAAAAGATATTATAACTATTTCAAGTGCCTGTAAGCTTTTGTTATTTTGTACAATCTTTTTGTCTAGAGCTTTGTAATAAATAATTGGTTATTGTTATTGCACTTTAGTTGCTGTTTTAATAGTATTTTACTGTTATTTATAAACCATTGCAAAACTGCTCAAAAGAATGATTCCCGATATCTATGATGAGAAAATAATGAGATCTATGATCTCGTATCGAATTATGATGAGAAAATAGAATCTTGTCTCGAACTTAAAATCCAGTCTCGTCCATCTCTATTCTTGATAATTTGTTTATGAATTTATACACAATGGCACAATGGCCGTATGGCCATAGATTTCTTAGATGGTTAGTGACTGGTACCATAAGATATCAAAATAGTAATGGCACTTTGCCTGCTCTGATTTTCAGGCCATCAATATTACTCGATTCTGAACCCGTGTTGCCTGAACAAGTCAGAACGAATCTGAACACGTTGAGAGCATCCATACGAGGTGAGTTGTTAGATTCTAGGGTGTACACATCTAGTGTATTATTGTAATCAATAACAGAAATCCAACCAGAATAACTAATACCACTGTTTCTTGCATTGATAATATTCTGACTAGTGTACATTTTGGGAAAGGCCAATTGTGTAACATCAATACCTCTTTTTCTGATCATAATGCTCTGCTGTTGTCTCTACCCAACAAACTGAATAGACAGTTCTGCACCAAAAGAATATAAATTAGAACGTACCCTGAAGAGAACAACATTCTATTTGTAAATAGACTTAAGCTTATGTTGTCAGATATGCCTCCCCTTATTTCACTGGATGATTTCTACAATGTTTTCTTGGAAAATTTTATCTTTTGTATGAATGAATTTTTCCTTATTAAAAATATTAAGGTTAAAAATAAAATAAGAAATAAAAAAATGGATTACACAGGGTATTAAGATATCAGCAGCAAAGAAGAGGCAATTACACTGGCAAGCAAAGTATAAACTAAGTATAAAATTTCAGCAATATGTAAAAAATTATAAAAAAGTGTTTAAGTCAGTTGTAAGAGCAGCAAAAATAGCATCTAATGATAATTACATTTTTGAGTCCAAAAACAAATCAAGAGCTACATGGGCTGTTGTTAAAAGAGAAATTGGTACTCATTGTAATAAAATTAGTGAACCTATTACCTTAAAAATAAACAATAGGATAATTTCAAATCCTCAAAAAATCACTCAAAGTTTTAACAATCATTTTATTAACACTGTTGACTTATTAAAAGTCCCTAAAGCTGATTTATCTTTTGTCAAAGACAGCCCTTCATGTAAGACAAAGTATTTAAGTGAATTTTCACCTGTGTCAGTGGAAGAGGTAGCTAAAATTATCTTAGGTCTAAATAACACAAAATCTTGTGGATGGGATGACATTCCAGTTCATTTATTAAAATTGTCTGTTCAAGTGATAAGCCCTATTTTAACTTATATTTTTAATCTAGCTATTAGAACTTGTACCTTTCCGACTAAGTTGAAGCTGTCAGAGATAAAAACAATTTTTTTTTTTTATGGAATAAAAAATGACATTCAAAATTTCCGACCTATATCTTTACTTGGTAATATATCAAAGTGCTTGGGGCTGAACAGTTTGGGTTTAGGAAAAATAGAAGTACTGCTTTGATAAACTTTGTGAGCGATGCGAGGGCCTTGGATGGGTCACAGTTTACTGCGGGGATTTTCTGTGACCTGTCCAGGGCTTTTACTGTGTGGATCATGAGATGCTGATAAAAAAAAATGGCCAGTATTGGTATTGAGGAGTCGGCTCTTAAGCTATTGTAGGTCTCGCCACCCTAAGTTGAGGCAGCCCAGACGGACGGGCAGGGTCATTATCGGCCGGTTCCACCCGACCCTTTATAATCCGATTAGTGACACTTCCGTGAACGCTCTAGTTCCATAATTGTCATTAACAAAGTTAAAAACCGATGTATAAATTTAGTCTTTCACATTAATAACGTCGATTTAACAAACATTTCCGTTTTTGTCCCATTAAAATCGGACAATGTTTACGGTTTGTGAGCTATAAACACTGTTGCTCTACTCGTCCCCGTCAACGTAGCCGTACGTTCGTATAATTCCCGCAGAGAACTAATTGGGTTTTCAACCAGAAGATTTCCAAACACCGTCAAAATCACTTCTCGTTGACCACTGCTCAGAGGTTTTCCATTTTTGTGTATCTTTATAAAGGGTGGCTGAAAAGTAACTTGCACCCCCCCTTAACTTTTCAACCATTTGAGATATTTGAAATCTGTTTGTGGCAACCTTCTTAGCTATAAGGGGCTACAATAATTATGGTCAATTTTGAAAATTTTGCCCTTAGGGGTAGTGGGGGTAGGGGGTAGCTCAAATTTTTCAAATTACAAGTATGGTTGAGTTTGGTATCATTTTACAGGTCTTGACGAAACGTACAAATTGACATAAAGAAAACCAAAATCGGCCCACTAATAACAAAATGGCGCCCTAAAACGTTTCAAATCCAAATAACCATGAGGGTGGCTGAAAATTAACTTGCACCCCGTTTAACTTTTTAACTATTTGAGATATTTGAAATTGGTTTGCGGCAACTTGTTAGAATATGAAGGGCTACAATAATTATGGTCAGTTTCGAAAATTTTGCCCTTAGGGTTAGTGGGGGTAGGGGGTAGCTCAAAATTTTCAAATGACATTGATAGTCGAGTTTGGTATCATTTTACAGGTCTTGACGAAACATAACAATTAACATAAAGAAAATAGGAAACCAAAACCAATAATAACAAAATGGCAGCTAAAAATGATTAAGGCAATGTTTATTAAAAGTAATTTTGAACTGCCATTTTGTTATTAATGGTCCGATTTCTATTCTCTTTATATTAATTGTTATGTTTCGTCAAGACCTGTAAAATGATACCAAACTCGACTATCATTGTCATTTGAAAATTTTGAGCTACCCCCTACCCCCACTACCCCTAAGGGCAAAATTTTCGAAACTGACCATAATTATTGTAGCCCTTCATATTCTAACAAGTTGCCGCAAACCGATTTCAAATATCTCAAATAGTTAAAAAGTTAAACGGGGTGCAAGTTAATTTGCAGCCACCCTCATGGTTATTTCGATTTGAAACGTTTTAGGGCGCCATTTTGTTATTAGTGGGCCGATTTTGGTTTTCTTTATGTCAATTTGTACGTCTCGTCAAGACCTGTAAAATGATACCAAACTCGACTATACTTGTCATTTGAAAAATTTGAGCTACCCCCTACCACCACTACCCCTAAGGGCAAAATTTTCAAAATTGACCATAATTATTGTAGCCCCTTATAGCTAAGAAGGTTGCCACAAACAGATTTCAAATATCTCAAATGGTTGAAAAGTTAAGGGGGGGTGCAAGTTACTTTTCAGCCACCCTGTATATTTTTCTGCCAATATGGTTCTATCAGGAGTCCTCGAAGCTGACATCACTGGTGAAATGTAGAGACAGAAATGACCATAACACATGTTGTTATTTATCGCCAGGAACTGTGATTCACCGAGATATTCGCTGTGGAAGGGAGGAATTCCTGGTAAAGACATGAGACATGACGCGATAGCTCGACTACCCAACGGGTAGTTTCAACCCCTCGTCATAGTAAACAATGAATCATCTTCAAATTTTTTTATCAGTCTATATCATACATCGAAATCATAGAATTAATGGTTCATTATTTAATAGGTTTTAATTTTCATAATAGAAACTACATTAACACAGAGCTGCACACATTGTATTTATATTATTTCTACTATTTATGTTTATTTATGCATAGTTTAATATAGTTTTTATATTAAAGTTTACATGTTAAGTTTATTTTTTTGATACTTATATTATATTCAATATTAACATTGGATTTTGGGATCTACACTACTTTGTTTTTTGTTTATAGCTCACAAACCGTAAACATTGTCCGATTTTGATGGGACAAAAACGGAAATGTTTGTTAAATCAACGTTATTAATGTAAAAGACTAAATTTATACATCGGTTTTTATCTTTGTTAATGACAATTATGGAACTAGAGCGTTCACGGAAGTGTCACTGATCGGATTATAAAGGGTCCCGCCGATAATGACCCTGCCTGTCCGTCTGGGCTTCCTCAACTTAGGGTGGCGAGACCTATAACATCATATCTTTTGGGGAGAAAGCAGAGAACAGTTATCAGTGAGAGGGCAACCCGTTTTTACTCAGACTGGGCTACAGTAAAATTTGGCGTCCCTCAAGGATCCATTTTAGGACCCACACTCTTTCTTATATATATAAATGACCTACCAGCACATATTTCCAAAAGGTTCGTACTATTTGCTGATGATACAAGTGTAATAGTTCAGGAAAAAAACCTATCTACATTAGAAAACACTTTGAAATTAACACTAAAAGATCTGAAGAAATGGTTTGAATCAAATGAACTTTTACTAAATATGAATATAAATCTAACATTATGCAATTCCACATCAGAATTAACAATAACAAACTCAATGGAACGGATTTTAATATCACTGATGAATATAAATTTCTTAAGAATTAATATAGATCAAAGTTTCAATTGGAAATCACACATTCAATATTTGGTTAGTAAGTTGACTTCTTTTAGGTTTGCAATTAAATGTATTCAAAATTCAGTGTCACTCGCAACATTAAAAATTATTTATTATGCTTATATACACTCTCTGCTTCGTTACGGAATTGTTCTGTGGGGAAACTCAGGGGATATTAGCAAAGTTTTTAAAGTCCAAAAAAGTATTACTAGAGTGATGATAGGGGCAGAATATGGATCAAGCTGTCGTCGTTCTTTTAAGGAATTAAAAATAATGCCATTGACTTCTTTGTACATCTATGAAACAGTAAATTTTGTTCATTTAAATAATACACTTTTTGATGAATTTAGACCCACTCATAGTTATAATACCCGAAACCCAAATCTGCTAAATTATCCAATTCATAAACACACTCATTTTGAAAAAAACCCCATCTATATGGGGATTTGTCTATATAATAAGATCCCCTCAAAAATAAAATCCTATACACCACAAAAATTTAAAACTTGGACTAAATCATTATTGGTGGAGAAATCATATTACTTCCTGGCAGATTTCCTAAATGACCGTGGTGACATTAATTGACCATTAGTTTATGTAAAATATGACACAGAATTTTTTAAATTGTTTTTTTCTCTGATATTGCTTCAAGATCTTCATTTAAATTTGTCTTTTTTCTAACTTGTTTGATTTGGTAACCTTATTTATTTATTTCCCACGGTTAAACCAATTTTAAACCTTTTCTCAATTGTGCTGTTCTTGTTGTATTTTGTTGTAACTTTTTACTTTTAGTTTTTATAACTTATTGATTGACCATGCATCTGTTCACTATTGCCTTTGTAATGAAGAATGTTTTATGCAATAAAATACTTATGACTTATGACTTAGTGATGTCCTGGGTTGCACAGGCTAATAAAATGTAGATAATTGTTAAAACTGGAATTACACTTGTGTTAAAGGGTAAAAGAAAGTCACTGTATATTAATATCTGAACACTGATAAATTATTAAAAACAGTACATTGATTGAACTAGTGTATGACAAACAACTCATTGATGAATTGTTTAAGGTATTTATACAATGAACTAGGGATTTGTCTACTCCTGATACCATCGATACTTGGCTGTTGGTATTGGTATCAAAAATCAATTGTCTAAAGCCGATTCCGATACAACGACAAGGTTTTTTTTTGGTCACGCCTGCACAATCAGAAAATTATTGCTATTGCCATGAACTCGCAAGACGTGTAAGTGACTGCGGAAGATGATGGTGACGTCTACACGGCTCCAGGAGATGTTAATGATTCTGCCCCGATTGCGTATGATGATGTTTCCGTGTCACTTGGGACGGTGGTGACTTCTACAAGGCCGTGGAATATGTTCATGATTATGCCGCGATCGCGGACGACGACGATCACGTGTTTGCTAAAGACGATGATGATGTTTACATGGCCGCAGAAGATGTTCATGTTTCCCCGATCACGGCAACGTTGATGACGTTTCCGTGACCGCGGGAGTTCATGATGATGTCTGCGGGAGACGTTCATGACTTTTCCGTTACCGCAAAAGACAGATATGATATTTTCATAACTGAGGAAGATATTTAGGATTTTGAGGTGATCCCAGAAGACAAAGATAATATCCCCACAACCGCTGGCGATAACTTATTTTATCCTCTTCTCTTATCCTCTTCAGTTTACTTTTTTTCATTTCATTACATTACAGTTAGTTAGTTGACCACAGTCAGACAAGAATGTAATTAGAATAAATCCAAACTTTAAACTATCTTAGTTAATATTTGTGACGTCGGAAAATATTTACACCTTTATTTTCAGGTTAAAAGTGAGTCCAATACTTTAATCTTTACTACTTTAATCACTTTGAATTAACGTAAGATATAAATTTTTTGGTGTGGAAATATCGTAGGCTAACAAATAGGTTAGGCCTAGTCATTTTATATAAATAAACAAAACTGTAAATGGCCGTAGTTCTGTTAATATTTATGAGCGTGGAGAAATTTTTGCACCATTATTTTCAGCTAAAAATCTAGTTTCTGGTGATATATAAATCTATATAGGTTCCCATGGTCACGTTCATCGCAATAAATACCCTATCTTTCTGTAAGTTTCGGTTATTGCCGATTATTGGGATTGTTTTGTGCACATTGAATGTCATCTGCAAGTAAAGTTTCCTCAACTTTAATCCCCTGTCAGTTTTACACAACACAGTTTTACTGTTTTAATACCTTGGTGTTACCTTTGTTTTGTTTTTTTTTATGTGTAATGATGGCTTCAAAACAATTTTTTTAACACAGAAAGTGGTTGTCCGAACGTCGCTACAGTTTACAGTTATGTCACACAAAAATAGCTCTTAATCTAATCGCAATCGTTTACAAAATTTAACAACTTTTCAACAGGAATTTGGAAGTTTGGTACTGAATACTCACTATTTACATTTATTTTCCAGCTAGAAACATCATTATGCGAAAAGTTAAAAAATTAAGAGAGAAGAAAATCAACACTGCACGTGGTTCTTCAGTATGCGTTGACAGCAACGATGATGAACCCACAAACTAGATGGTAAGTCATAAACTAGTATTTCTTCATAAAAATCAGTTCCTTCCTGGACTATAGTACATATGATATATCTGCTTGCATTTTGTGCTTAGCGGGCGGTAGGTGGTTATATCCGCAATTATTACAACAGTTATTGCTATTGTTGATTGTCTATAACATTTATCATTGCAAAAATATCCTTTTATTCAATTATATCTTTAAACAATGAACTAGAATTTTTTTATAGGAGGATAAGAAATGTTATTATACAAATTTAAAAAAATAGTAAAACAAAAAACAAAATATTTTGGACTAATGTGTACAATTATCAGTAAACTAAGTGGTTAACTATTTACAAAATTATATAAATTATACAGGGTGTCCCAATTTAAGGTGCGTAAAGTGTCTCAAATTGATTATGGAGAAAAATTAAAAATATTTTTACATTATTCCTTGGGTAAGACTAAATTACTTACGTAATTCCCGTCACAGCTCAATAAAAGCTAGTCTGTCCCTTGCTACCTGTGCGGTCGGTCATCTTTGTTAGAACAGGCCTGTTTTTAAAATGTTAAGTTGTTTTATGTATTTATTCGTGGTCGTACTGTGTTTTATCTTCTGATGATGTTAACAACTGATCAACTCTACATTATGTACCTGAAGCTGACGATGGTGTTTTAACACCGAAATAGACATATTTTATTGAGCTGTGATGGGAATTACGTAAGTAATTTAGTCTTACCCAAGAAATAATGTAAAAATATTTTTAATTTTTCTCCGATACAGGGTGTGCCAAAAACTAAGGGTCACTAGTTTGAATCTCTGAATTTTCAAGTAAACATACGTCATGTTATACATCATTTTAAAGGTATTTAATATACAAACTTTTTGGCGAAAACAGAAATGAATTATCTTTTTCCGTTTCTAAATGGTGGCAGTTTATTTGGAAAAATCAATATGTTTTTAATACTCTTGTGTTTCCTATACCAATGCACTTAGTCCTTCTCCGGTTGAATTTTCTTGCTCGTTATGAAATTAGCTTTACTGTGATATGCTACAAGTAACGGTTTTTTTTACAATAAATTTTCCAAAAAAATTGATTTTTGAAAATTTGCAAATGCCCATTGTTGAACATTTTCAATAGAGGTGTCTGAAAAAATCTGAAAAATCTGGTCGGATTCGGTTAAAGCCGAGCCTAAATTTGATATCCGACACTATCCGTTATATCCGACTTTTTCGGATAGACAACATATTTTGACGTTTTGAACAGAAAACTAAATCTTCATAACCATCATTAGTTTCCCAGGACAAAAAATTACAGCAATACGTTTCCAACGACGACGTAACAGCAAAGGACAAAGAAGCCGTATGATGCAATACCGATGTCTAGTTTAGTCGTTATCAGCTGTTTTGCTTTATGATTAGATTCGTCTGGAACGAACAGACATAAAGCAGAAAAGAACTACCATGGTCAACTCGTGCTTGTCTCTTGATACTAGGGGCGCTATGCGTAATAGTTTTTTTTTACAGTACTTTTTTAAAGTATAAAAATCTAGCCTACTTCTGTGCTGTTACGTAAACAATAGATTTATGTTTCCCAAAAAAAAGTCAGAATATAAACAATAGAAAGGCAACACAATAGAAGGGTGGGAGGGGGTTGGGCAATGACTTCGAAACCGAAAGGAGCCCGGGTAACGGGTAGCAACAGTGAGTCGAGTAGGCCGTGAGGGGGGAAGGGGTGGGTACGACCTTGAAGCTGTATATAGACTTGCACTACTTCCCTAAATCTAAGGGACTGGCGAGTGGTATTCTAATCAAAGGACAAGATACGTAGTTTTTTGGGTATTCATTGCCCGGTTTGACTTTGGATTGTCTTATTGTGTAGAAACTTTGAATAATCAAAAATAAAATTAGAACTAACCACGATTATTTAGCATTGATTGTGTATATTAAATGATGATAGGGACCAAAGTCAAAGTCATCTTTATTGTCACAAAACGTTTTTTTTTAAATGCTCTGGCACAGCCAGACAAAACAGGTGACATTGTCAAACTATACTAAAATAAACTAGCTTATATTGGTAAAAATTAGGGATGGTCAAGTCTCGAAATTTCGGGAAATTTTAAATCTCGTTAGACGAGACAAGATTTCTTTTTAGCCAAGACTTTTATCGAGACGAGAATTAAAAAAAAAAAAAAAAAAAAAAAATTAAAAACGCCTGCAGAAAGTCAATGCAATACCCGCAATACAGGAGCGTGTTGTAGTTGCGTTTCCTTTGCGAAGGCGTTCTTATTTAATTAATTCTTTAAATGTAAATATTGCTTTAATTATTTTAATAATATTACTTTAATAACATTTGAGAAGTTTTGTTAAGTGTAAGCAGTGTGAGAAATGTTTTAAAACAAGTAACTATTTTATAAAAACTAATATTGCTTTTATTTTATGATTTATTTTATTTTAGGATAAGTTGAACTCTATCCTAACTAATATCATTATGTTTCCTAATCGTAGGTATTTTTAATAAGTTAAGCGTGATTAATAAAAAAAATGTTATGCTGATGTTTTTTAATAAAAGATTGTAAATATTCTTGCCTATTATCATTATTTTTGTATTTAAACAGTCATCTAACAATGTTACAAAATCAGGTAAAAATTTTGAACGTGCATTTCCCATTGTGTATGAGAAGGGAAATCCCGTCTCGATCTCGTCTCGAAATTTTATGAGAAATAAAAAATCTCGTCTCGTCTCGAACTAAAAATCCAATTTTGTCCATCCCTAGTAAAAATAAATACATAGTAGGTAACAAAACAAACAATTCACATTGATTTGTCTTCGAGAAACTGATCAATACTATAATAATTCTTTTCTAACAAAAATTCAAAAATTTTCTCTTTAAAAGATACTAATCCTATTATAGATTTGTAGTACCCAGGCAAATTGTTAAAAAATCTTTTACCCATATAAGAAGGTGTCCTTTCCACAAGATTTAATCTGTGTATAGGATATTGAAAATCTGTATGAAATCTAGTGTTATAATTGTGCCGATTATTTTCACTGTGGAGTTTTTCAAAATTTGATTTCACATACAATAAACATTTAAGAATGTACAAATTAGGGACGGTTAGAATCTTTAGTTCTTTAAAAAGTTGTTTGCAAGAATGTTTTACGGGTTTAAAAGTCATAATTCTAAGTATTCTTTTTTGAAGTTTAAAAAGTTGATACGAATCAGCCCCAAAGCTCTATTCCATACTGTAAAATTGACGAAAATAAAGCGTGATAAATCATTAGTCTAGTGTTTAAATCAACAACATTTCTTAAGACCAACATTTGAAAACATACTGAATTTAACTTTTTAGAGGTGTTATGAATGTGATTCTTCCAATTCAATAAACTATCTACATCAATTCCTAAAAATTTAGCTGTGTTGCTAAGATTTATTTTTTCATTATCAAAATAAACAAAGCCTTCAAGATCGTCCCTACACTGTGCAGTTTGAAATTTTACTATTTGTGTTTTAATGTGGTTCATTTTTAAACCGTTTACTTTAAACCATTTTGACAGATCTTGAAGAGCTTGATTCAAAGCTAAACTTAGTTCATGACTGTCTTTTGATTTAATGATGGCTGTCGTATCGTCAGCATATAACAACAAACTAGGTTTAACATTCTTAGGTAGATCATTTATGTACATCAAAAACAATAACGGTCCTAATATAGAGCCCTGAGGCACCCCCATAACAATCTTTTCCCATTCAGAAGCATACTTAATGTTTTCTTTAATAATAACTGTTCTTTGAAAGCGATCGTTTAAATATGATTTCAACCACAAAATAACTGATTCTGAGAATCTATAGGAGGATAATTTATCAAGAAGAATTTGATGGTGTACACTATCAAAGGCTTTGGATAGATCACAGAACACGCCAATAGTGCTCTGTGACCCATCCAAGCTCTGTGTTATTGAATTTACAAAATGAGCCACAGTGGAAGTGGTACTTCGATTTTTCCTAAAACCAAACTGTTCATCAGCTAATAAGTTATTAGATTCCAGAAAATAGGACATTTGGTTGAATGCAATTTTTTCAAATATCTTTGAAAAAGAAGGCAGGACATAAACAGGTCGGTAGTTATCTGAATTACTCTTAGAACCTTTTTTAAATAATGGCTTCACCTCTGCATACTTCAAATGATTAGGGAAAGTGCTATTGGTTAAAGTCTGATTGATGATTATGGACAATGGTTCAGCAACAAACTTAATTACTTTTTTTATCATAGTAGTTGGTTAGACCAACTAATCAGGAAACCTGACAAATCAAGGTTTCCACAACTGATAAAACAAGAATTCTATAAGCTAGAAATTTGGTTTCAAGCTAATGGTCTATTATTGAATCACTCTAAGTCAACTACTCTCACTCAACTAATCACTCTTAATCAACTTTAAAAAAAAATACCACAATCAAAATTTCCAATATGATAACACCACTCTACCATGCTGTTTTTCTGAATGTACAAAATTTTTAGGGATAACTTTAGACAATAAATTAACCTGGAAAACTCACGTTGCAGAAGTTATAAAAAAGTTGAACAAAGCATATTTTTCAATTCTTATTTTATCTAGAGCAGTAGATGTCTCCACTCTTATGATGGTGTACTATGGGTATGTTTATCCTATTCTTAATTATGGAATCATTTTTTGGGGCAATTCTGACAAAAAGAAAAAGGTATTTAAATTGCAAAAACGAATCATTAGAATAATTTATTCTTTCAAAAGTAGAGATTCATGTGAAGATATATTTAAAATCAATAAAATTCTTACTTTTCCTAGCCTTTACATCTATAATTTACTATTTTTTTATGAAACAAAACATCTCTAAATTTTCTGTTAGTTCAGACAACCACAATTATGACACAAGACACAAAGACTGCCTTACATATCCCAAACACAAATCTTCTACCTTTGAACTTTCGCCCCACTACTCTGGTATTAAATTTTATAACAACCTGCCTGATTGCATTAAGTCTGCATCTTCCCTCAGGTCATTTAAAAAAAGTTTATTTAAGTTTTTATGTAACAAGTGTTGCTATAAGCTCAATGACTTTTTACCTACTATTTAATTACCAATGTACTTTATTGGTACTGTATTAATAAATTGGCCGATTTTGTCAAATTTTACACGAAAATTTATTGAAATTTCAAGGTGAATATCAATAAAACAATTATTACCAAGTATTTTTATTCATTTAAAAGATTGATTTGTGGTATTGGGTTCCCCACTGAGTGCAGCCGAGCGGCACTAATGAGGGTTGAACTGCCTTGGGGGTGGACAATAGACGGCTTATCAGACCGACCCTCCCCAGTGGGTTACCTCCCGCTATCTCCGCGTCCCGCCGCCTCCGTGTACCGCTACCTCAGAATTTCAGAGTGACCCCTATAATCCTCGGTTACTTCCTGTGTTAAGACTTTCCGTCCAAACCTAACCTAACCTAACCTAACCTGACCTAACCTCCTAACCCACGGGTTAAATTTTCATTAAATCTTCCATCCACGGGGCTTTGCAGCCGTGGATGCAATGACAGCTAACAACGCAGGCAGTGACGGGATTATAAGGGTCACTCAAGAATTCGGAGGTGGCGGGACAGATTTGGGTTCGGAGGTGGCGGAACGCGGAGATAGTGGGAGCATATGCCCCAGTGGTCTAGAGAAAGCTTGTAAAAAAACTATTGCACACATGACTTGACCTTGGTCTGCTTCATCTTTAATTTTACAAATGAACTGTGATGTTTCAAAATCAAAACAATAACTTGGGACCATACTGCATAACTATAATGGACTGCAATAATTGTTGAATTTACAATCCATTTTTAACAAACTAAGATTATACTATTCAAATACAATTTTTAAAATTATCTTGGTATTTTACTTGGGGTAATGAAGTTATGTAGGCTAGTGTAATTCTCGGTTCATCAAGGTTCTACTGAATTATGTTTGGCAGTGAATAAGTGTAGAATGAATTTTATAACTTCAGGGATACACACCTTTTACAGAGTTATAAAGCCTAATTGCTTTAATTAACTTGCCACAACATCAAATCTAGAGCCCAGCTTGGACAGGAATGCTTTCTAAACTTGGCAAACCCACAGAATGCCACTTAAGGCCAATAATCCGTTCCAAAAACGTAAGGAAATACAATGCAAAAATAAACTTGAGATAGAACTCATTGTCTTGTGAGAACCAGGAAACAACATAAAACATAACCTCAAGTAAACAAGCCCAAACGTTTTGACATCAGTCCTCCTGAGCTAAAGTGTTGTGTGAAGATTTCGGCTGCTAGTGTACTTAATTCAAGCGGCCAACTTTTGAAAATAGATGTTGTGAATTGTGATTTTCAAGAGAGAAAAAACTATGGACGTGGCTAATTTGAAATTCTATGATTCAAAATCGTCATTTAAGTTTATTTACACAGCTTTACAGTGTTTTATAGGTTAAAAATACATATGCAGCTTATTATTAACTGTGCCGAACAATCCGAATCCGAAAATATCTGAATCCGAACCTCCCAATATCCGATCCGATCCGAACCGAGCCTCAACTATCCGATCCGAATCCGATCCGAAATGAAATTTCACTATTCGCACACCTCTAATTTTCAAAAAGCAACATACGTCAAGTGACACATCATTTTATAGGTTTTTAAATTCTTAACTGTGTAATTTACACTTACTTCATATCTCTTTTAGCTTTTGTGTAAATAACAAAAACCTAATTTTCCTATATCAAATGCATGTTTTTTGGGTTTAACACGAAAGGCCCCATGTAATTTAGGGTTAAACCCAAATAACATACTATTTGATAAATAGTATATTACGTTTCTCAGGGTGTCTACCAACCGGGAAAACCGGGAATTGTACTTATTTTTTTACTGGCCATGAAATGTAAGGTGCATTGTCTTTAAATGCCAGACTATGTCCTTAAATTTTTAATGGGCCATAATTTTATTGATTGCTAGTTGGTTAGGAGCACATAAAAGGTTTATCAGATGTTTGTTTACATTTTCATAACTTTATTACTAGAGTAATCATGCAATAAAGATTCCCATTAGCAGTCTCAAACCCATTAAATATTTTATCACGACAATGAAGTGTCAAGTCAAGTACTTCCAGTGGCGGCGATAGCGGGCCCGGGGGGGGGGGGCCGCGAGCCTTGACCGGGATTTTCGGTAAATTTTACTGGCACACGGGCCCGCGATAGTGTGACAGGCTCAGCCACGCTGGTCCCCTATCATAACAATATTTATATGAGAATTAAAATATGTTTTTTTATGATGAAAATTTGTTCAAACCTATAGTTCAAGTAGTTTACAACAGCTAAACTAACACTATTACTTGACCGATCGATATAAATTATCTACCAACTTAGTAAAATAATTGTCATCAGTCATGCGGGTTGCATTAACTGTCCTCGTGGATTGTGTGAAGGCGCATTCAAAATTGGTTGCATAATAATAGGGCCGTATTTATAACCAATGTGGCCTCTGGCCTAGGAAGATAAAAAATTAATGTTAATCCTCCCATCCCCAGCGGGTGACACCATAGAGGATCCTCTGTGCTGATTCGACTAAATAAACTTGACAATTTTGTTACGACCAAATCGGCAAATTAACCTAGGTGGCTAGGGCACTACCTAATATAATAATTCCATTATTTCATTGATGCTAAAGAAGGATTTTCATTTCATTTCATGTCTTACTATTAGGAGGCTGCCCTTTAGATTTGTTTACTTCGCACTTTAGATGTGTTTACATCGAGTCAGGTAAAAAATGTTACTTACCTAAGGGCCTCAGGCGAAATCAGAGATGTTCAAAATCGGGTTTCTTTTGAAACGGTTGATTTTTATAATAGGCCTATAATGTTGATTTTCGAGCCGAGCAGAGCCTGGACTACAAGCTTGAGAGATCAAGCACAAAGTCAGAAAATCAAGCTCGAGCCGATTTTCTCAGTATTCAAAACAATAATGCACAATTAAAAGTAAAAGCTTTTATATCCGTGAGGATAACGCTCACAAAATTGAAAGATTAGGCCTACGCTCTTGCCGCGATCGCGGATATCGACGAGAACATTTCCCCGTGGGTGACGATGACGATGTCTCCGCGGCTGCAGATGTTCAATATTTTGCCGCGATTGCGGAAGACGATAATGACGCGAGTGATATATCTAGGATTTAGCCGCGATTGCGGCAAAATGATTTACCCGGATCGCGGGGAGATATTAGGCCATGATATTAGATTGGGCCAAGAACGCGGGAGACGATGATACTGCTATCTAATGATGTCATAGGTTTGGTTGCATTTGCAATCATGGTAAACTATGATAATGTTTCTTCCATAACTTATGACTACGGGAAGTATTTACGATTTTGCCACGATCATGGAAGACGATAATGACGCCTCGGGAGATGCCTTGTCAAGTTTATTACAAAATTGCAAGTTTAGGCAGTAATACATGAGGAAATTTTTTTAAAGATCATTGGGAGAGAGGGGCCCGGCGAAAAAACTTGCTGGGGGGCCTGCGGGTTCTTACCGCCGCCACTGAGTACTTCCAAGAACTTTGACTCAGTAGCTAGCTCACAAAAGTTGTATCACTTTTATTCCTTTACACCTTCTATATTTATTACTAGGGTAAAAATTATTAGTAGATCGAGATCCCAAACCTATTTTATCATGAAAATAATAGTTTTATAATGGCTGATAATTTCACTTACTTGTACTGTCGGCCTGAAGATTCAAAGATTCAATTTGCCACTTCAAAGATTCAATTTGCCACGGCCATTGCCTAGTGCCATAAAACTGTTTATGGTTTCATATTGAACATGTAACTAATCTACATTCTTATTTTGCAAGTTAAACTATTTTTTATGGATATTTTATCTTTCTATTGACAAAACCACAAGCATTTTTGTTTGCATTAATTTTCCATCACTATGTAGGCCTGCTTGGTTTCAAATTATGTCATTGCATTTTCTGTATTTTTTTCTTATATTGTTGCCTTTTCAGGTTTCAATATTTTTTTGTTTCCCATATTTATTTATTGTGTTGTGTGCTTTAAGCAATCTAAAGCTTATAAACTAAAATGATGATAGTGACTTTGCTGCTATTATAACCTCATTGTTTGTTACTCAGTTTATATAGGCACTCCTAAATAATTAGGTCTAGGCCTGGGTATTTTGATTCTTCGAAAGAGCTGTAAAATATACTAATAAAATGTAATTGAGCCTAAAGATAAACTAGTGATATGTCGATATTAACTTTGCAAATGAAAAGACAATAATCTTACTCTGTGCAAGAACCTATCAAAAGTAATCAAGAACCTAACGTTGTGCCAGGGCGAATCATGCCAAATTAATCCGCCTGGATCGGATAAGCTATGTTATGATGTTTCCGTGACTGATGGAGATTTTGTCGCTGTCGCATGAGACTATGATTGCGTTTCTCTGTTACACTATAAAAGCTTTACCTAAAGTATACGTTTGTTTACTTTCAATAAATTTCTATTTTGAAATTTAACTCTTGTCTATTACTATTTACTTTTCTCTCTGGTACTACAGTGAAGAACAAGATTAACACAGTTTGACAAATCAGGAAAATTATTGTTTCATTTTAAAAATTTCTCAGCTAAAAAAACACCCTATAGGCTAGATGGTAATTTTTTACAACATTTTATTTGTGTTGCAGATGGTACGAGTTCTTATGGGATACATATTTGTTGAAGAGGGAGTTAAGGAGACCAAATTTGACTTCCTTTATACTCAGTGGTTAATACTCGGTGTTTGTTTGGTTAGTGCGCTACAAGAGAGTAGTCACAGCTCAATATGTTAGTGTTTAGTTTTTTATGAACACTTGTGCCTTAAGAAATTGACAAAGCAAGAGCATTACAGTTTTTATGGGTTTTTTTTTCTTTTTAATTGTAAACTTAATTATAATGACAAAGACTGAATTGTTATATGTAGTAGTTTTAAGTTTAGGTCTATTTTTGTTACCAACTACTTAGTCAACTGTTATTGTTTAAATATTATCCTTTAGTTGTAAGTTTTGGGTTTCTAATTTTTTTACAAATTTCCATTGGTACCTATTTGTTGAACATTTGGTCTAAAAGATAAAAATATCTGTAGACATTGCCTAACTCTTCAGCTGAATTTAAATTGTGGGTGTTTAATGCCAAGTTACTCTTAAATAGAGTACTTACCTAAATAAATACTTTACGTCTTTTGAAAAGTAGTGTGGATACTGGATACTTCCGATCATCTGTGCAGTTTTCAATTTGCAGAGTGTTTGAAAATGGGTCATTTTACCCAAAACGAGTAACCCCAGATTAATTAAATATTGAAGTCTGACAAAAAGGTATGTAACCTATCATATTATTTGTCTTTTTTACTTCTGGCAATAAATCGGGGACTTAACCATTCCAACACTATAGGAGGATATATCCGCTAGCATTTTGTGCATAGCGGACGGTAGGCCAATTATTACAACAGTTATTGTTATAGTTGATTGTCTATAACATCATTCATATTCGTAAAAACGTCCTTTTATTCAATTTTTTTCTTATATAAAATAATTTTGCTTTCTGTATTCATACAGGCTTTCTGCCAAGGGTCAACATTTTGATCACTTCAGCTAAAGCTTTTACCAGAAAAAGTGACTGTAAAGAACGTAGCGAATCTTTCAGTAGTATATTTGTATTTTCCTGCAATTCTTTAAGTGTCCAGTGACTTTGAACAGCATCAAGATACACATCTGGTATGTGGATACTGGCAGATTGTAGTCTTTCCCTTGAAATGAAGCCTTCATCTCAGCAGAGCCCAGTTGAGGCAGTCATGTCAGTTGATGACCGCAGTGATGGAACGAGTACAACTGCTTTAATGAGGTGTAAGCAGTCTGGGTGTGAGAAGGCAGACGACACGTAGGGAGGATGTAAATATCAACATGTTCAAAGCTCAAAGCTATCATCTGCTTGCAGAATTTGTTGTTGGAGAATGAGTTTACCAAGAAAAAATCAGTGAATTGTTTCATTTCTAGCAGCCTCTCTATGATGCTTATGGGCCTTGGTTCTTGGTTCACCATCATTTCCTATCCCTGCTGACACAGGTACCTACTCGTACTCTCGAATATGACCTTTAAACTGCCTGGCACCCAATATAGTAGCTGGTACATCATTTTAAGGTCTTCTGTCAACTGGTTTCCCATCATGTGGACTGCACCCGCACCAGATTCTGGCATCTCAACAATTTGCTTCAAGTTGGTGGTGACAAGCTTTGTTCCAAGGGAAAAACTACGATCTGCCAATATCCCAGTATTATTTCCCATCCCTGCTGATGCAGGTACCCTCTCATACTTTCGAACATGGCCTTCAAAAACCATCTGGCACCCAATATGGTACATCATCTTAAGGTCTTCTGTCAACTGATTTCCCATCATGCGGACCACACTAGATTCTGCCTTCTCAACAATTTGCTTCATGTTGGTGGTGATAAGCTCGTCCTCCACTACTTTTACAATTTTCAGTTTTGTCATCTCGTTGAAACAACCATCAGCCCTTTCAGCCTCTTTACAAATATATTGCATAAATTCTTCAGATAATCTGCTGTGTTCCCCTGCATTATTATCCTTTGGCTTTCACTCTTGAAGAAGGCAATGATTGTTGTAGGAATGGAAGTTCACTTGGTTGAAAATACTCAACTGAATAGCCAGTCCTTCACTGGGTCACCCCGCCCCGATGATAAATTCCCTTTAAATGAAACTTTAAGCTTGAAATTTAGCAGGATTAAACTTCCACAAATGAAAAATAATGTTGGAGACGATAGGAGATCCAGACACGATGACAAGAATTAATGAAGAAAGGAAACGTGAAGTAGAAGCTGCTGTTATGAGGGTTATGAAAGCTCGTAAGATTGTCAAGCTCGATATGTTGAAGTGATCAAAATGTTAAGTCCCTGACTTATTGCCGCCAAAGAGTTTATCAAGATTAGGACTGAAGATCTGGTAGAGAGGAGATTTATTGCCAGGAGTAAAAAAGACAAGCGAGTCTATGAGTATGTGGCTTAAAAATAAGAGCCAGAAGTGCGTTTCAAAACTGCACAGATGACCTGAAGTAATTCATCTACACTATTTTACAAAAGACGTACACTCCTTTAAACCCTTTGTCAAACTTACATCTTAAATTGATTTTCCGTAGAGTAACACTATCTCAGCTGAGGAAATAAAATAGTTAAATCAATTGTTCACAGTTTTTCTTTTTTAATATGAAGGCTTAATTACATAGTAATCAAAGTACAATTTTTAACCATCCATTTTTAGCCTATTATTATTGTATTTTAAGTTCATCCTAACACTAGTGCCTTCTAGTGAGCAATTGAACAATTTAGCGTTTGCCATTTCTTGATATTTTTCTGCCATGAGACAAAGGAAAGTAAAAGCTGTAATATTGATATGATGATTTTCATTATTCAAAGTTATCATGGCTTATCCATAAGAAACTAGTATCATGTTAAAAAATGTTTGGGCACATTAACTTTATACTATTATGATGTTAAAACTCATATCTTGTTAAGAGAGGTTTTACTATAACTAAAGTAATTTAAACCAAATTGTATCAGTTTTGCCTATTTTATCTGATGTAGAAACTTTAAACATAAGTCTTGCCAGACAAGAATAAGCCAAATGTGAAAATTTGTTTAGCTTGAAATTGTAAGTTGTAGAATTTACATTTAAGACTCAAATGTTACATTTGTAATTAGCAAGGTACCTACTATTTATTCCTTATCACAATACTTGTATCAGTAGTAACTCTTTGGTTTTTCTTTATGTACTTCATAATTAAAATATGTTACCTCAAACAAAATGAATATGTATTTATTGAATTCCGGCTGTTAAATCAATCTGTGTATTTACTTAGTACAACTAGGCTTACAGGTATATATGTTTGAGTAAAATCTGTATGAAGAATATTTCGTTTCTTAAAGGATCCTCGTAGGATTGATATTTTTATATTGCTATTCACAGTGAAGAGTGAAGATATTGTGGTTCTTCACTGTCTCGTCCAATGCAAACTACTTGATGCTATGGATAAATTGGCATTTTTTCCTTGTGTAAATCATGATCATAAATATCTTTTTTTCTTCACCAGTTCAACATATTATCAGAATAGATGCAACCTCGACTTTTTTATTTATTTTCCCAGACTTTCACATTAATAATTATTTAAAATTATACCTTCTTAAATGTTATCGCAGGCCCATTTAGGAATTTATCAGTTCAAATATGAGCTTGCAAGAGTGATAGTGTTGCCCTGTACAAGGGTAAGATTAACAAACTCTTTAACCTTGGGCGGGAGCTATAAAAAGGACCATTTCAATCCTCGTACACATAACCTTGTGATTTAGTTTCTCGTCAACTTACCTATTCATTATTTATATTGTAAATATTATTCTATTCACAATAATTTTGTTTCCACACAATCAAAACACAGTCTAAAATTCCATTTATCCTGCTTCCCGTTTTAATCCCTTTTTTCGTCTAAAAATCCCGTTTTTAGGGGAAAAAAATTAGTGTATGGAAACACCTAAGTGACACTCTTCATTGCTTACAATTGGTTTGGTGATCCCCTAAAAAATAATAGTTATCATGCTTATAAATAAGTTAAAAAAGAGTCCACTGACAATTACATGCAAATATATTTTATTTTTTATTTGAGCATTCATTGAGCCTAGTAAAAATCATATTTTTTTTCTATTTGTGTATTGACATAGCTTACAATTGTTAAAACACATTTTTAAAATTGTCTCTAATACATTAAAATACAGTAGTCTTTATTTAATATCAAAATAAATTTTTTTTAAAGCACTTTAAAGTTCTTGAAACTAGCCTTCTATATCCTCTTTTGACAGTTTTTCAAATCAACCATTCTTTTTGGGTTATTTTTTTAAGAGGCCAGTTACTTCTTGTTCTTAAGCTTGGAGGTCAATTTTATTGCCACATCTCCACAAAGCACAAGAAAGGTCCATTATATGGCCACAATTCCTTAAAGCACATTTGAGAGATCAACTAAATCACCACAACTTCGAGATTTTCTTAAGTTTTGTTTTGTGTCTCCAAAGGGTACACTCAACAGATCCCTTGCTGGGTTAATGTTAAACGTTTTTTCCTTGCATTTGGTAAGTTGACAAATGCTAGTTCCAGAAATGGGGAGGGATTGAATCAAATTCCCAGATGATTGTGATGAACCCTTTGTAACCAACCTCTTTGCAATCAACTGAAGGATATCTTTGAGCTGGAGACCATCTTTACTTGAGTATTTAAAACAGTAAATACAAGTCCCCTCCTTTTTCCTAGTCTTGACTGTTAGTCCAAATAGATTTTGGTTATCTAAAAAAAAAAACACCAACAATTAATTAATGTTTATTAAAATGTACTTTTTTCATAAAAGGTTCTCATTGGTATGTACGCAACACTGTACATATCTTAAAAATAGACAAATTGTGTTTTTTTTCCTGTACCGGTAACTCAAAATTTCCTTACATTTGTCAACCATTTATAATAGTTTAGGTGCTATTGAATTGAATGAAATAAATGTGAAGTTTAATACAAATTTGAGCTCATACTGGGCTCCAGGAGAAGGGTGCAATCAGCCCATGTAGTTGAATATATTACATATATTACATCACATACAGTAGACCCCCTCTTAACCGACCTCGTATTAACCGATAATCGGATTATCCGCCTTTGATCGTAAAATAATACAGTTTGTTTTAACCGACCTTGATTTAAGAGCAGCTCGGTTTAACCGCCGCTTTCTAGGAATCTCGGCATTTCCGCTCCCACGCTGGGCGATGAGAACTGAACCATACGCTTATCTCCACAGGATATGACTAACAATAAGCTATTTTGTGTTGAGCACAAAAAATATAGCATAGCCTATTGTCAGTTTGTCATCATCGTTCGTAGCTCGAGCACATCTGATCTGATTTGTTATCTGTGCGGCAAATTTATAACATCATAAAGTGCGTTACGATTTTGAGAACTGATTATCTTATCGCCGGAGTAAACAAACAACGCAACTTGTAAGGAAGGCAGGGAAAGGGGGTTAACAACTCCAAGGTCAAGATAGTTTTTGTGCCTGGAGCCTCCAGTGAGAGGCTAAAATAAACGTCCTGTTTTGTAACAAAATGGTCGCTTGTATCTTTAATGTCGATAAAAGGTTCTGTATTGTATTACGACGTATTTGGAAAGCATCAATTAATACATTACAGTATTAAAGTTATTAAAATAGGAATTTTATTGACTCTTGCCTAGTATTATAATAATATATTCCACTGAAAGTAGGCCTATTTGACTTAACTGTGTTTTGTGTTTATTTGTGACTTTTCTATCAATATGAAAAAGGAGATAAGAGTAGTTTATTTTATAAATAATGCAAGTATGACTTAAAAATAATGATTATATAATTCAAAATGAATAGCACTTCATTATGTTATGATTTTAGGGATTGCCCGTTTTATCCGACCTTTTGAGTTATCCGACCTAGGTCCGGTCCCATTAGGGTCGATTAAGAGGGGGTCTACTGTATATTAAAATTGACATCCCATTGGTGAATTATTTCAATTGAGCTGGAACATAGCTGGTATCGACAAATATGGTAAAATGTGGTTCATCAGAGCTCTCAATGAGAAAGAAGTTTGACTGTTATCATTTATCAATATGTTCATAAAGAATACTAACAATTTATTTCACTAGGAATATAAGTAATTTTTTAACATGTGTGTATTGAGTTGCAATTTTATAACTTATCCATTCTTGATGGTTTAGTAATCAAATCTGGTTTGTTTTTGATAACTCAAAATTTTTTGTCTCCCAAATATGTTTTAATATTTATTAAACGCCAACTTGTGTATCTTTGTGTAAGACCCTGAGTCTTACCCTTCCGATGAACAAGTGGAAAACCTGTAGGAAGGATTCCATGTCAATGACATAGACAAAACATCTAAACTCATCAAAAGAAACCCACAGCAATCCATTCCATAAACAGTTTAGTTTTTTCACTATTGCTTCAACACTAAGGTAATTCATTTTCTTTTATGGAACAGTCTCCTATTGAGAAGGTAGAAATATCCCACCAGCACATTACAGACTTCATGAATCCTCCCTAACCTTGTGGTGATCTTGGTTAGATGGCAACACTGAAAATTGCTCCAGTTTTGATCTTTAAAGTCTGGTTTACACGATGCCAGTTAGCGAGACAGTTCTTTTCGCCAATTGTCATCACATGATTGTGGGATTGTCGAAGGCCAGTTGTTCTCAGTCTACTCCCAGAAACAACTGAATTTCGGGGCAGTTGGCAAGGCAATCGGCTTTTTTTTCTTTTTTTTTAAGGGAGAGGAGGGAAAATGCTTTTATGCACACAGGTAGCGAGTCTGTAGTGTGAGACTCCTGAATATATCACAGACTACTCACTAAAAAACCCCCTCTATTCTGTTGGACACAGACCTGGAATAGTTTGTCACATTACTTCAAGTCAGGCCAACATGTGACCTAAGCCCTCAGGGCTCTCACCATTTTTTACATTTAGATACTTTATGACCCACACCGCATCCCGGTCAGGGTCGAACTTCTTGGCGCGGAGAATACCCTGGATGTAATGTGACACACAGGTCCAATTGTCCTCACCCTCCGTCACCATCGGTATGACCGTGTCCACTGACAGCAGTCCTACTAACTGTTGAGCCTCCAGGTGGGGCCTTTTCCAACGCTGGCAGTAGAAAAAGGTATGTTCCACGTCATCGGGAATGCCTGGGCAGTATATGCAATCGGGTGACATGGCTTTGCCCATCCTGAACAGGTACGACCGGAAAAAGCTGTGACCCGTCAGAAATTTGGTGAGGTAGAAGTCCACCTCTTCGCACCGCCGATTAACCCAAGATCGGACCTGCTGTATCAGTCGCATGGTCCAGCGTTCCCGAGATCTCCTGCCACAGCTGGTAGGTGCGGGTGCATTCCTCTGTTCGTGCCTGGTCCTCCCCACGGCGCTGATAAATGGCCTTTCTCACCGCCGCCAAAAGTTTGACGGGGATGACTCCAGCAACCACCAGGACGGCGGGTTCGGACACTGTTCAGTAGGCGGATGCAACTCTTAGTGCTGCCTGACGCTGCACTCGGGCAAGCCGCATCCTATATACCTCCTTATTGAGAGCGTCTGCCAACACCTCAGCACCGTACAAGAGTACGGACTGGACAGAAGACATTAACAGCCTTCTACGGCTGGACCGAGGCCCTCCGACATTGGCCATCAACCGGGTAAGAGAGGAGACCACCCTAGCGGCTTTGTCCGCCGTACGGAAAATCTGATCCCACCAGCTAAGCTTGCTCTCCACCATAACCTCAAGGTACTTGGCAGAATTAACGGTCTGGACTTCGACGGCCCCTACCCTCAATGGCACGATGGAGTCAATCCGTTTTCTTGTTAATATCACAATCTCAGTTTTGCTCAAAGCAAGCGAGAGACCGTGGTCTGTCATGCATGCGTTTATGGTACGCATAACTCGGTTCAGCTTTAGCTGAGCCAGCTCAACGCTACGTGCAGCTATCAAAACTGCAACGTCGTCTGCGTACCCTACCAAAACAGTTTCCTCAGGCATTTCAGACCTCAGGAGGCTGTCATACGCGACATTCCAGAGGTCTGGGCCGAGTATGGAACCTTGGGCAGCACCGGAAGTGACACTCATCGTCCGTGGGCCTTCTGTAGTGTTATACATGAGGAGGCGGAACCAGAGATAATCCTCTATGATACGCATGAGGTATGCCCGAACGTGGAAGGTGTTCTCCAGAGCATCCAGCATATTGCACCACCTCGTGGAATTAAATGCGTTTCGCACATCGAGAGTTACGAGCAGCACAACCCTACGAGAGTAGTGGTTAAAATCCTCAGCTCTCATCACGGCTTGCTTCACCTCCTCAACAGCGTCAACCGTAGATCGCCCCATCCTGAATCCATACTGGCGAGGGGACAGGTCCACAGGTCCCCCGCAGCGACCACGGCTGAATTCTGTCGGCACTGCGTTTACTCCGGTTGATGGCTCGACGAAGAGACCTCCTAGCCACTCTGTAAGCATCTGACTTACGACGTCTGTCTACAGGTTCTCTGGCCCTGGTAGCAAGTCTTCTGGCTCTCAATGCTGACCGACGCAATTCCGCAATCTCGTCAGTCCACCAGTACACAGGTCGCTTATTGCACCGGGATCTCTTGCGAGGCATAGACTCATCACAAGTCGAGACAATTAGTCCCATCATAGATGCAACTAACGCCTCCGCGTGAGCCACGCTAGTTGCGGGGGGAACCACCGGTGTTCCTCGTAAGATGGCTTCATTGAATTTTGCCACGTCCAATTTTTTAATATTCCATCTAACGGGCACTTGACAAAACGCGGCACTTGTCTCTGATGACCATCCAGGACATCAAAAATAATGTACTGGTGGTCACTGGCCGTATAATCCTCCAGGACTCTCCAGGCTCTGATCCTTGGCAAAAGGGACTCAGATGCAAGGCTTATGTCTGGGATCGTTCCCCGCATCCCAGGGCGCCGGAAAGTTGGCGTGTTTCCCTTGTTGACGACAACGAGTCCGGCTCTGGCAGCAAAGTCCAGAATGTACTTGCCCCGGGAATTGGTGAGGGTCATTCCCCACTCGACAAGGCAATCGGCTTTAAGTGTTTACATGAAGCCAATAATTTATGGCCAGTCAGTTGTCTGACCTACTGGCATCGTGGCTTAACTGACATTTCTCTACAATCTACTTATTGAAGAAGTCCTTTAGTAGAAAGAGGTATCACTTTCATGTCATGTAACTTTTAATATGTATCTATTAGCCGACCTCATATTTGGTTGTATTTTTCTCAGGTAATCTAGCTGAATCTCATCCCTTAAAAAAAGATTTGCTTTAAAAAATCATCCACTAACTAATGATGTTTTTTTACGCTTAAAATGCATTAACATAACAGTCTGAGTTTAAACCTACTGGATTGATTTTTGAGACCAAACACACTAAATATGCGAGCAAAGATTACACATGCTACGCAAAATAGATATTGCAGCCAAGGCATTTTTGTGGTAGCAATTTTCATGCGAGGCCTAGCGAATGTCTTCACATAATTGCCGACATGACCATCTGTTATTTACGTATTTTGTTGTTGTTTATTGTGTTATTATTAACCTTTATTTTTGTGTTTGTTTACTTATTTAAGTAACTAACTAGAGGTTTAGCAAGAGTGAAGAACGTGATTAGTGAATTAATTGTATTATGATGTGGATATTTTCTTGAAAAATACCAGGTATTAAGACGTGCTTTTTTATTGATTGTCTATCTACTCGCATTAACAGTCCAAGTTTGAGATTTTTAAAATTGAGTGTATGTGATAATGATAAATGGGTAGCAAACACAGCAGACGAAAAACTGAAAGGCCTTCCTGAAACTGCTTTACATTCACGTTTAATGTGTGAACTGCTTTTTGAACCTAACTGCTTTACAAATAATATGAGAAGTAAAAAGAAAGCTGTACCACCATGATTAGTTATGTACTAACTATGGATGAACACCGGTTGTTACTCAGCAATCTGCACTCATTGCTGCCTCTACAGACGAACACCACTGTCTCGTGGTAGCCCCATCATCACCTAGCGATAAATTCACCAGTATTTCTACTGTCAATGTCTCATTATCTTAGAGTCTGCCTAAAGACGGATAGAGTGCCGAAATATACTATTAACTACTAATTAATGCACTATACTACTATAATGCAATAATTTGTAGTTTATTGTCAATTGAAAATAGGCGTACGTTGAACGTTGTAATTTAAGTGCTTAGCAACGAAACAACAACGAAGACCATTAATAGGGAAATAAGTATGAGAGTGAAAATTTAAAAACGTACGTTTTCAGGAAAAGCACTTAGCAAATTTTTTTCCCCTTTTTTCAAAACTTTTATTATTTTTTTTATTTCATTAACATTTGAAGTTTCATAAAATGTCCATGGTAACGCAATATCTTTGGTAGTTTTTTTTTTTTAAGAGCATCTTTAGTGGAAAAACACAAAATCCTGTCACGACCATAACAGACGTTTAAATGAATATTAAAAATAGTTAATATTATTTTTATACATAACTATGTTTTGCTATAAACTAATTTACTTTTATGACCATTATACAATAAAAAGGTCACTGAGCTTTTGGTATATTTGGTCTTTCTAGAAAAAAATAAAAAAACTCAAAAAATTAAAAAAAAGCCAGTAAAATCTTTTAAGTTTGTATAACTCCGAAAAAACTTAACTGAGACCCGAAAAATTGTTATGTTTGTATAGAGGTGTGCTTCTTTTGTGTATAAAACATTGAAATATGACGATATTTTAATTTTTGAAATTTTTATGATAGAAATCGTAAACGTGATGGTCAGGGACAAGCGCAACGGTCGTGAATTTTCTGAAATAATCTAAATCTTTCTAAACAATCCTTCAATTATACTGTTAGTTATAATACAAATATGTGTTTCAATTGAACTAAACTGTTCAATTTACATTTATACTAAATTTATTGTCACGACCAAACACACTATAATCCATAAGGCTGGATTGGTCGTGAAAAAACCCGCGATGGTCGTGAAACTTTGGTCGTGATTACGTGTTATTTGGCTCTGTTCTGGCGGTAGCCCTGCACCTCATGTTCGAGGATACAAAGTGGACTTCTAGGTTAATCTAGCAATTGAAATATCTTATAAACAAAAATTAACACCATGTCTACTTCATCGAATGACTACGTACGGTCATGGACACACCAAAGTTACAAAAAACACAATCTTTCCTTTATTAATCTTGTAATTCCTCCTTTCAACTCGAAACGACCGGCACTACAATCCTGACGTACACCCCGAACTAGTCTCTAAAACCAACTGACTCCATCGACGCCAGGCTTGCCACTGTCGTGCTCCAAAGTTGAAAATTTTTCCCAAATGGTCGTGACGCCAAATCGAGGGACAGACTTATTTTGTCATGGTAGTCAGTTTGCAATGATAATAAAATTATAATATGCTCCTTTTTTGTAAGTTTAATAACCATTGATGACATAAAAATGTGGCTTTATATATTTCGGCATGAATAATTAGTCTAAAAACAGCGTGAAAGTTGGAAAATGTACCCTAGGGACACGTCATGGTCGTGAATTTCGAGACTTAAAAAATACGAAAAAAATACCTAGAACCTATTTAAAACCAAATAAAAAATGTGTGTAAAATGTTGCCCCTGTCCCAAAAATATTAAAACACATAATAATAAACTACAAATCCAGTATCTACGAAGTAAAAGGCCAGGGACATGAAAACGTACGTTTTAAATTTTCACTCATGAGCTATATGTATGTGGACCACTTTGGGAGAGGAGCGGGTAAAGGAAATATGAGTGAACAGAATACAAGGTCTTATTGATCATATTTCACGTTTGTTCGAATGCACTTAATTTGAAACTTCTTATATTTTCCTCTAAAAACATGCCATTCCAGTTATTGGGGTATCAGGTCATTCGGGTCAGTTAACTTTCGTGTGACTGCGAGACTTTGACTTTGCAATTTTCAACCTAAATATATTGTTCTTATTTTACAAGGTAAAGAAGACCTCTTTAATTTATGTATAATTATGATTCCCCTGTTGATAAAACTGTGTTCTTATACTTATTGTATATAGTCGTCAGTTGAAAGATTTATCATACAAAACAATCCAAATCTATGTTTTGTATGATATTGAAAACATTTTCTTCAAAGCTCTATTGCAAACGGCACCTGCAAAATATAATTATTGTAACGAAATAATACGTAGTCTGAAAACGAATGCCGATCTGTTTAGAGAAATGTTCTTCCTACAGACTATGTATATTGTTATGTCTAAAATAGCTCAAATAGCCAGTGCATGAATGGTTATGTAGCAGTTGATAAACCATGCATTCCTCTTCGTTAGTTCGTAATATATGATATTGCATGAAACTATAAATCCAGTAACAAACATTGTGGTTATCTAAAGCTATGAGAATTCCAAAATCAGAAATGTAAACATCACAGAAAGTCACTAATGTTCAAAGCTCGTAAGATTGATAAATTGTTAAGGGTTCTCTAAATATACTTTAAAATTTAATGCAAAAAATATTTTAACATTGTAAGCTTATAATCAAAATCATTTATATGGACAACATAAAGTTACTTATTATTTATATCATAAATTTAAGTTTATTGTTAATGTGTCTAATAGGCAAAGTGTATAAATAAACTCAGTTTTCAAAATAATAATATATCACTGTAACCTTGCAATTTTTGAAGATTTTTATTCACGCATGTTTACATCAATAAAACCTTTGCTACATTGTTATCCTTTAGCTTAACATAGACACTATAATATTAATTAAGTAATAGTCCATTTTGTAAAATGATAAAGTTATGGTACATTAATGACAGCTCTGCGCTTAAAAAACTAGAAATACGATGGTGACGAACCGGTCAGCGTGTTGCAGTAGTTGCGTACAGATGTTCTAATACCGAAAATTTCCGTACTCACCCGAACTTAAATAGGTAATGCAGATCAAGACTTGACACAGCGCCTCTGATGAGGGACCACCCAACTACGTGAAGGTGGCCCTATCCAAAAACGACTTGGCACAAAATGTCAGTAAGCTGCAATATCTATTTTGGGTAGCATGTGTAATCTTTGATACAAGTAAAATTTAATTTTCTTAAGCTTATCAATAAAAATTATGAAGAAATAGCAATTCTTACCATCCTCCTCTCCCTCAAACTCTATCACATTCATTATCATAGACAAGGGGATCGTTGCCACATGCACATACCGTTTTTGAAACTGGAAGTATTTTGTTTTTATCTTGGCTACCTGGAACAAAAGATGTCAGGCCCGCTTTTATAAACGGGCAGACTGGACATATGCCCAGGGGCGCCGGTGGTTTAGGGGCGCCCGCTGGGTGCCCCCAAACCACCGCCCGCCAGCACTAGGAAAAAGGGGGCGCTGCTCTTGGGTTTGCCCAGGGCTCCACTGACCCTTAAAGATGTATTCATCATAAAAATACTGTAGTTGAAAAAAAATAGTTGTTTTATTTTAAAGCAGATTGCACTAACCTTAAGTTGAACACAGTGATAGTTTCTATTTAGCGGTTTTGCAATGTCTGCTATGTTAACCTCATCATTTTTTAAACCTACATTTTAATTTGTGTGAGGATTTGGTGGTATTTTCTGGAATGGAAATGTGTGTAATGATTATTTTGGTTTTGGTCATATAATGACGCTGAAAAATACTTTTTTCATGATATAGCTTGTATTCAGCACCTACTCTGAATTTGATAAAAAATCTGACCTTGGCAGTAGTTTCTATATTTGAACAAGTTTTCTCCAACAGGAATCTTTTTTTAACAATTCAAACACAAAACATTCTTATTTTAATACAGGAAAAACAAAATCCATTATTTCTGCAACAAAATTCATAATTTGATACATTGTACATACGCTATGTATGTGTAGGGGCGGTAGAAAGTAAAACCATCCCACACTGTAAACCCTTCTGAAAAATCAAATACAAAACCTGGTTCCATTGAGCCACAAGAGAGAGTTTTTTATTGTTTTATCTTCTATCAAAGCTATACCATCTCTGTTCGTTTGTTTGCATTTCTTTTTGTGGTGATTTTTTTACACTTTTTTTAAGGAACAACAAATTATTAATATCTCACCTCTAGGATGTTACTGAATAAGAAGAACATCACTTGAACATTCGATAGAGTGCCTGTAAGACTGGGTTCTACAGCAGAAAACTGAACAATCAACTCACCATGGTAAGGAGTCACTTGCAAATACTCCTGCAGAAGAGTCAAAGGTACTGATTAGGTTAATTTATTTTATTTTCATAATGGATTGGCCTCTGGATTATCTGAATTAAGTAGGCTAAAGAATAAAGTAACCTGGTTGCTGTTGAAACAAAATCTGTTGTAATCGGGGGTGCCCAGAGAGGGGATTTTATTTCACATATTTCAATTGTTAGTTTAATAATGTTTAGTAGCCCTAAACAGTTTTCTTTAAAATAATACACTCTCTTTTAAATAATTGCATTTACATTTAGCTAGGGCTCTTCATAATAAACAATTGTTTGTAGCAAAACACAAAGTCTTTGAGATCACGAAGGATGCTCTAATTTTGGGTAAATGTCAATATTGACACATTCATGTAAGGCAATGATGATTTCTTCATAACTGCGGAGGAATGTCAAGATATTGGCACGATTACAGGAGACAATAGCAAAATGTGATCTTGATAGGGTGGGGATCACGGATTATTTTCATGGCGACATATAATCGGGAGCCTACCAGTAGACCGACAAGATACTTGGTCGTCTGGCCACTAGACCGTCTTTTTTAATTAAATAGATAAATGCTGAAAACCAGTACTTGTCGACGTTGTTATTTCATCGTCAGTCCAGTTGACCGGCCTGTAAAACTATATTATTATATTCGAGAAACCAACTTGTCGTCAATCCTCCCGACCGACTTACCGCTTGCTCGTCTTTTAGGTGGGGATAGGGGGCAGAGTGGGAGGAGCTAACTGGGGATTACCCAGGAGTTTGAGGCGCTTCTCATGGTTGAACCACCTCGCTCTAGGTTAGAAGCCAGTATTGCCAACTGAAAGTATTAGCTCCGTCGAATACTATACACGCGGCGTGTTTATACAGTCTGGCGTTAAGTTGACGTTGGCGCGCAATTCTCGTTGCGTCGTTTCTATAGCAACCGTGCCGTGACATTGTCCTTGGTCTCGCGCATTCCTCTGCCTTTGTATTATTTAATCTGCATCGAAAGATAAGACTCGCTTTTATGCATTGACTATTGAGTCAATTAAAAATTTCATTCGGGGTTTTTGATCGTTTGTTTGGATAAAACTACGTACCGTATATTGTAGAATTAAATTTGTAGTGTGGTTATATGGTATTATGGTATATATATATATATATATATATATATCCTACTCATATTATAAATGAGAAAGTTTGGATGTATGAATGTATGTTTGTGACAAGTAAACGCAGAAAATACTGGCCGGATTGGGCTGAAATTTGGTGTGATGATAGCTCACATTCCCGATTAACATATAGACGCATTCTTATCTCAAAAGTCCGTTCGGGCTCCGCCCCAGTGGCTCTGGAATTTCCCATGTTAACCTTATGAGTAATATTTAAAACGAATAAAAGAATTTCGTCAGCTGTTTCAAATACACAAGTTGGTTCTGTGATATTAAATTCGCATTAACAAGTTATAAAGTTTACTGACAGGGTACAGTGCTATTAATTTAAATGAATATATAGAATAATCCATAGCCTATATTGATATTTTTCATTGTTATGAGTGTAGGACAGATACTAAAGTGCAGCCAAATTTGGTTTCTAAAAGTGGTAGCCTATATGTGTAACTATTTTATACAACAAATGTAAAGATCAAAATGTTTGTATTTTGTGTCCTCTTCCCGTTGCAAAGCACGGGTACAACAGCTAGTATATACATATATAAATATATATATGTACCAGGTTTTGCGTTGGATTTTTCGTCAGTTTCGTCATTGAGCTCTCTCGTAGTAAGTTGTATCACTTGCGTCTTGTTCATGTTCTGTTGCATATTTTGTATCACTTGCTTCCTGAGACGTATCAGAGTGGTGGAAACTGGTCCACGACGTAGAGGAAGTGGAGGGAAGTTGCAAAGGCAAAAGGTCTGGAGTGTGGGAAATATAAAGTGACTATGGAAATATACAACACCATGCTTAAAAAGGCTTGAGGAATGATGGAAACAGGTCCACACGACGTAGAGGAAGTGGAGGCAAGTTGCAAGGGCAAAAGGTCTGGAGTGTGGGAAATATAAAGTGACTATGGAAATATACAACACCATGCTTAAAAAGGCTTGAGGAATGATGGAAACAGGTCCACACGACGTAGAGGAAGTGGAGGCAAGTTGCAAGGGCAAAAGGTCTGGAGTGTGGGAAATATCAAGTGACTATGGAAATATACAACACCATGCTTAAAAAGGCTTGAGGAATGATGGAAACAGGTCCACGACGTAGAGGAAGTGGAGGCAAGTTGCAAAGGCAAAATGTCTGGAGTGTGGGAAATATCAAGAGACTATGGAAATATACAACACCATGCTTAAAAAGGCTTGAGGAATGATGGAAACAGGTCCTCGACGTAGAGGAAGTGGAGGGAAGTTGCAAAGGGAAAAGTTTTGGAGTGTGGGAAATATCAAGTGACTATGGAATAATACAAAACCATGCTTAAAAAGGCTTAGGGAGTGATGGAAACAGGCCCACGACGTAGAGGAAGTGGAGGCAAGTTGCAAGGGCAAAAGGTCTGGAGTGTGGGAAATATCAAGTGACTATGGAAATATACAACACCATGCTTAAAAAGGCTTGAGGAATGATGGAAACAGGTCCACGACGTAGAGGAAGTGGAGGGAAGTTGCAAAGGCAAAAGGTCTGGAGTGTGGGAAATATCAAGTGACTATGGAAATATACAACAACATGCTTAAAAAGGCTTGAGGAATGATGGAAACAGGTTCACGACGTAGAGGAAGTGGAGGGAAGTTGCAAGGGCAAAAGGCCTGGAGTGTGGGAAATTTCAAAAGACTATGGAATTATACAAAGCCATGCTTAAAAAGTCTTAGGGAATGATGGAAACAGGTCCGCGACGTAGAGGAAGTGGAGGCAAGTTGCAAAGGCAAAAGGTTTTAAGTGTGGGAAATGTCAAGTGACTATGCAATTATACAACGCCATGCTTAAAAAGGCTTAGGGAATGATGGAAACAGGTCCGCGACGTAGAGGAAGTGGAGGCAAGTTGCAAAGGCAAAAGGTCTGGAGTGTGGGAAATGTCAAGTAACTATAGAATAATACAAAGCCATGCTTAAAAAGTCTTAGGGAATGATGGAAACAGGTCCACGACGTAGAGTAAGTGGAGGCAAGTTGCAAAGGCAAAAGATTTTGGAGGGTGGGAAATGTCAATTGAATATGGAATTATGCAAAGCCATGCTTCAAAAGTCTTAGGGAATGATTAATAATTAAATTAATTTAATTAATAATTAAATTGAATCTAAATTATTGCATACAATTATTATCTGGTCAGTGGTGGCAGTGCCATCGTGCGCGCAGAATGCTTCTATTGGGAATTTTTCCTTCCTACTTGGACGTCCTGCAACCTTATTTACGATGTGCCAGAATTTTCTGGAGTCTCCGTCTGCATCTTCGATTTTATTTTTGAAAAAACTGTACTTGGCTTGTTTAATTAATGACTTGAGAATATTCCTATATCCTGTCCGTGCTGTATGAAAATGACCTGTGCTGTATGAACTTGGTCAAACTACAGCACAGACAGTAGAAGGACAAGGATATAGGTTACATGAGCCTGATAATAGATAAGGAACTATTACACTATAGCTGTCTGCCTGCATGTCTCTGAATTTTACTTTATAAGGAATAAGGATGTAGGTTTGAAATACCTTTAAACATTAAATCAAGAGGACAAATTGTAACAACTGTTGAGAATTTAATTGAAAATACTGTAAGACTGAAAATATGATTTTCTGGGTGAAGAAAGTTGTCTAAATTTGAGATTTCAAAGTCCCATAACTTTCGAACGCCTCAACCCATCAGAATGGGAATAAGTATACAATGTATATGATTTAAATCTCTACAATATCTGACCAAAAAAACAGTATGTCATCATGACTCATATCATGGTTGTATGTTGTATGTATAGTGTCCTATGGTCTGGCAGAGGCCTGACGTCACGTGGAACTGTCACTGTAGGTGGTCTTTAGCTCTTTCCTGCTTTAAAACTCCCAATTCTTGCGTAAACTATAGGTTTTTTCCTTATTACCTTGCTCCAACTCTTTTGATGGTATGAGGTTTTAAAAAGTTTATAGTTATTAATTAAAATATTATTCACGCCTGAATATTTATTATTTTCTGTTCAGTTGTGGCTCAGTAGTTGCGATGCTAACACCACGGCAAAAGAAGGTTTTAGCCATGTACCTAGTATGGAGGCGAAGAAAAAGAAATAATAATAGCTGATTTGGGTTCACACAATACTTAATAATCGGCACGAGTTTGGGGCATCCAGGGTGTTATTACTCCCATAGCCCTACGCCGCAAAACTAGCTATTACAGCATGGCAGTTCATGAGATATTATTTAATTGTAATAAAAAGAAAATATTACTCTTTCAGTTCTGGGTAAAATGCAGAGCAATGCTAAAGTGGTACGTCAACTTCGTATTACGTTGTCATGAAATAACAACTTAAAATTTAATGATTGACAACCCCTTTCCTAAAATTGACCAACGTTAAAATGTAATTACAATGCATAAGTAACAATATCGAATACATAATATTGGGGTTATTAAAGTTTACAGCTGGCTAATCATTCAAAGAGACTTAATTTTAGTTGTAAAAGGTGTTAAAAAATTAGATTTCCCTTGTTAATTATAATGAATTATTAATGTTGATTTATTATAAGTGAACGAGGAACACAAAAGGATACATAAGACAAAATACCCTAATATATGGCATAAAAACACAAACAAGACATTGCAGTAGTGTACAGTGTGTGATAGTGGTACGCCTACAATAACAATAGTTTTTATTAAAGTAAGATTTTTTTATGATTTTCTAAATATTAAGCATTGTTAATGACTAACATAGGCATAAATATCAAACAAACTTTAAAACACTCATTTAAACTTTATGTTGACTTACAGGGTCGGCTACTCAAACATCTTTATTTTTTACAGTTGTTACAAACTGCATAATAGCGTCAAAACAATTATCTTATTCTTA